AGGTTAAAAACCAAGCTCTTAAAATCTGTATTTGAATATATATTCTATTGTATATTTATGTTTTCAAAATATAACTTTCATTGGATTTTATTTTTATTTATATTTTACATTTTAAATACAGTCCAATACAGCTATATGGAATTAAATACATGACTAATCAGTTTCAGGCCATTTTTATTAGTCAATTTTTAACCGTTGAGTAATATACTGTATTGGTAGTGTATTAGGTAATTTAAATATATATATAATATAGATATTATATGTAATAATATAAATTACAATATATCAAATTATATAAAGATTTATATAGTATTTTATCTTTATACCTGTGTCTGTATTTTTTAACCGTTTTGCTTAAAACGGTTAACCGTCAGGTTAAAAAAATCCACTCTAGCTTTTATAAAAAAAGTTGTATATTATTATATATAACTATAAATACTACAGTCGGCTGCAGTTCTTTCTAGTCCATTTATTTTATTATTCTAATATTTTTTTTAGTTTTATTTTATTTTATTTATATATCTAGTCGGGCTCTGTCTAGGACTTTTTAATAAACTATTTCTAATATTATAAAATAAATAGATTATACTAATTAAAATATACCTTAGAATAAGAAGAAATAGCTGGAGAGCTATTTTATCTGTTTGTACAAAATTCTTTTATATATATACTAAGCTAGCGCTAGTTTGGTATATAGCATACGAGGCCTCAGGTGCCAACTGGTGCCTGAAGCCGAGCTCTATATCAGGGCCTTGGTCCCATAACATAAACCCTGGAGTGATTTAGTGGTCCCGCTGGTCGTACGGGAAGAGGCGCCACCCGTCTTGTCCCCACCAGTCAAATCTCTCCGCTGGCTTAAATTACACCCGGAAAAACGCCGAAGAACCCTTCAAAACACCGAAGGGAACACCGAACTAAACGCCGGTCATCCCCAAAACACGTGCGGCCCGCTAGTCTGACGCTGACCGCACCAGCAAACTCTCAACAGCTGACTGCTTACTCTCCAACCTATTCTCAATTTTCCCTCATCAGTCCAGGGACACCTATTCCTTTTCCATCCCTACTTCTTCGTGTCACCAGCACCGCAATGGCTGTGACTTCCGCTTCTCAAAGTAAGGCTGAGGGCCTTGGCCTTTATGCGCGGTTCGCCTTTGCCGGTGCCGTCTGCTGCTCGGTGACTCACGGTGCCTTCACTCCCGTTGATGTGTAAGTTATTAGTCGCGTTTACCTCCAGTCCAGTATCTATTATCCAGGGTAACTTACTAACATGCTTAAAGTGTCAAGACCAGGATCCAGCTCGACCCAGCGACCTACAACCGTGGTATGATTGGTGGTTTCCGGCAGGTGATCCAGAATGAAGGCGCAGGTGCGCTTTTGACCGGGTTTGGCCCAACCTTTGCCGGCTACTTCATGCAGGGCGCCTTCAAGTTCGGTGGTTATGAGTTCTTCAAGCAGCAATCCATCAACACCATCGGTCTGGAAAAGGCCCGTCAGAACCGTATTGCGGTTTATTCGGTCTCCGCCGCTTGTGCAGAGTTCTTTGCCTCGATCGCTCTCTGCCCGCTCGAGGCTACACGTATCCGTCTCGTCTCGGAGGCGGGCTTCGCCAGTGGCCTCGTTAGCGGGTTTGGCAAGATTCTCAAGAACGAGGGCATTGGTGCTTTCTACCGTGGTTTCGGTCCTATTCTTCTGAAACAGTACGTTGGGTCCAATGAGAGACTTATGACACACGGCAATGAACTGACATGGTATAGGGTGCCCTACACCGTGACGAAATTTGTGGCGTTCGAGAAGGTTTCCGAGGCTGTTTTCGCACGCCTGGACAAGTCCAAGCTGTCGAGTGGCGCCCAGACGGGTGTGAACTTGGGATCGGGTCTCATGGCCGGTTTCGCGGCGGCCATCGTCTCTCAGCCCGCTGATACCATGCTGTCGAAAATCAACAAGACCAAGGGTCTCCCTGGGGAGAGCACTGTCTCCCGTCTTGTCAAGATCGCGGCCGAGCTTGGCATTCGTGGTTCCTTCGCCGGTCTTCCCACTCGTCTGTTCATGATCGGTGGTCTTACTGCTGGGCAATTTGCTATCTACGGTGACATTAAGAAGGCTCTTGGTAAGTCTGATTATGTCCCTGGTTGATCACTAGAGCTGACTTTGTACCCTCAGGTGCGACGAACGGTGTGGAGATTGCCAAGTAAATACCTATTGTACTTATGCACATTTAGCATGTTCTAGACGGGAGGGTCAATGGTCAATGGTCCTCGGATAGAGATAGATGTAACCAGACCTATTGTATTCACTGCACTATCCTTTTCCGTCCCCAGCATAGATCATGTATTATAGCTTCGGCGATAAGGACAGACAAGCGCATTGAGGGGTATAACTAGAGACTGGGAATGTCTGCAGCAGCAAAGTATGCTGCATTTTTGCACAGTGGATAAATGCAACCTGAGGGATAAGGCGATAAGGGGTCGCCCCGCCATTTCCAAGGAATTCAGCCGGGAAGAGCCGTGTTGCCCCACCCGCTCCGCACAGAATAATGTTCTCTCAGGGACTCGCAGCGCTGGACAGAGAGGTGGGCTCCGACGAGTTCATTGTTGCGTTCGGCCCAATTGGACTTATCGCAGCAGGCGGATTCCTTGCGGTGACATATCTCCGGAGTCGTGAAAGCACAGGCGACATCGATTATCTTATTGACCCAGAATCTGCTGGGGACCAGCACATCCAGATTCCCCCGCAGAAGGCCATCCAGTCTGTTGCGCGCCAGAAGGGCTTCACTAACAAATGGATCAACGAGGACATGGCGATTTTCGTCACCAGAAAGGCCCGGCAAAGTCTCTTCGAAGCAGCAGAGAAACAGAATATCGTGCTTTTCAACGGGGAAAACCTCGAGCTGTTGGCTGCTCCCCTTGAGTGGGCACTGGAGCGAAAGCTGAGAACAATCCATACCGCGGACCGGGGTGGAAAAGCGGAGTACGACATGGAAGACGCACTGGCGCTTCTCAAGGAGCTGAAGCTACGCAACAAAGGCCCGCTTGACGAGGACTCGATCCGAAGGATGAACATGAACGGATTCGATGTCCTCCCGAGTCATGAGACTATGCAACGGGTGGCGCGGGCTTACCAGCAGAAATACAGTGAAGATATCTTCGGATCATATCAGCAGGACTATGGAAAGCGTTGTGGAGGCAGGATCTGGAAGCGTGCTTGGCTAGATTGTGTAGAGCCAGCCCGTGTTGGTGATAATATTACGCCAGGCCAAAAATGGGACTCGATCCATTCTCCTCGAGAACCGAATTTCCAATCGTATCCAGCTTCTCTGCTGGCACGGACGTTTTGAGTAGATCCTTGTCCATCGGGGCTACCTTACTCGTCCAGTCGGGCAACTCTTCCGCAACCTATGGGGGCCACGGGTCCTCTTCCGTCTCGCGGTACACATGTTTACCACTCCTCCATATACCGAGACTAAGTCGCCACTTGATCGCTCGGTGTAATTTCTCGACGATACACGCGAGTACTGCGTAACGCAGCGGATCGGGATCCTTCGGGTCTGGAATGTGTTGGAGCGTCCAGCTTGATTGATAAAAATAGTACTCTGTCTCGGAACCCATCAGAGTGTACTTGTCCGCCAGGAAGAGTGCGTAGAGCCGGTAGATGGAGCGCATTGGCGTGTCACGCATGCGCCAGATGGGGATGGCTCTGAGGTTATGCAGATCCCCAAAGAGACACTTCATTCTCCCAGTGCCGTTCTGTCCATCTTGAATGAGGGCTCTGGGGGAGAATGGGCCTGGAATATTGAAGTACTAGGATGGATACGGAACGAACATGCGTAGGAGCGTCAGCAAGGGGTGTTTGTTGTGTTGCTTGAGCCGCTGGAGACTAGCGCGTAGCTCCAGTAAAGACTCCCAGTGACGAAGGCACCACCGGAACGTCTCCAAAGAGAGATCTTGGGTTTTGGGCGACGACGTGGTGCCATCGGGGGAGATTGTGGAGTAGGGTGTGGAGGAGCGAAGAAGAAAACGGGGCGGGTTCACGTTCACAATCACGTGCACAATCACATTCCTGTTTGCCGGGTTTGTCATGTCTGCCATGTTTGCATGTGTCACTCCATCGCTTCGGCCCGCGGGAAAGCATCATTTCCTACTTCGTCATCCACATCACTGTACCTAGTACATACTGAAGACGCCTTTAGACGCCTTTAGGCCTATTGATAAAAGAGATGTCCTTGCTCCGCTTGCCAAATGACGTGCTGTTTATGATTGCCGACCTGCTGACTGCCAGAGAAGTGGTTCTGCTGCTGCAAAGTGATCCCGTCTACCAATTCCTCAACGGCTACCTACTCGCCAGATACCTCAGAACACGGGCCAGTGATGCCGATGCCATCAATAGTGCGGCTGCGCATGACGCAGACGAGGTCGTGCAACGGCTTCTGGACTCCGGCGTCGATGTGAGCTGGAAAACCACGTACTGGTCCTGCAGCAGCCCGGATCCCGATGCGCCATCTCGTCGGCAAATCACATCGGAGGCGCGGCAGACGTTCAAGCTGCATCCCCTCCTCTTTGCGGCGGGCAATGGCCGGACTAGCATTGTGGTGAAGCTCTTAGATCACGGCGCAGACATCAACACTAAAGATCCCGGAGGTAACAGCCCTCTCATGCTCGCCGCCTACCACGGTCACCTCGCGACCGTTCGCACGCTGGTCGAGCGAGGAGCCAATCTGCTGGCCGTCAATTCTGCGGGGGCCCGCGCGATGGGCCGCTCGGCACACCGACGCTTTGACGAGATCAGCGACTTCCTGGACGCCGCTCTTCAGCGCAAGTACCCGTCAATGCATCGGATGCGTCAAAAGGAACTGCACCAACTGCTGTGGTACGCAGCTCGGGACAATGACTTTGATCGTGTGCGGGATCTCCTTGCACGGGGCGCTGAGATTGACTATCAGATACCTCTACATGACACCACCGCCCTGACAGTTGCGATCGCCTGCGCGTCTCCGGAGATGGCTCAGCTCCTGCTGGAACACGGCGCGAGTCCGAATGTTTCGCTGTTTCCCAGGCCGGGACCCCCTCGACCTACCGATCCGACCCTCACATTGGGCCCGTTGGGCTGTGCCCTTGAGCGCGAGCAAAGTTACCGGTTCATTGAGCTACTCATCGAGCACGGGCTGACGTTGGCGATGGATGTTGCCCACCTGGAGAGAGCGTTGACTCTGGGGAAGCTCAATGAGTTTCGCTTGCTCGTCGACACGGGTGCGGACATTGTTACCGATCCGCGGATTGTCAGGCGCCTGTATCACCTTGCAGTCCGTTTGCAGCACGGTGATATTATGAATATGCTGTACTGTATGAGTGCCGAGTGGCTGGAAATTGACCTGCCGCTTCATCCACGTCCGGCTTTGACAACAACTGACAGGCGTTACCCGGAATCCTCTACATGATCGGTCCGGTTAAGGTCAGCTTTCTGGACAGTATTATCATGCGTGGGCAGCTTTCACTCTAGCGAACCAGTACAGTACCGGAGCCAAGGCATAGACCCTACACGACCCAGCTACCAGTTTGATCACACCTTAGGAGTATGCGGCTACTCCAGCATGCGCACAATGCTGCTTAGAAAGCCTATTTCAAATAGCACTTGCTCCCAGGATTGTGATTTAGGAAGGAGACTCCCGTTGTATGCTATTGATCCGACGAAAGTGAAAGTGGCCAAAGGAGGTCAGTGATCAGATCATGGAGTACCCGTGCACATGACCACCGTATGGGCGCTTGATCATCCTCAACATTCGATGGGCTTGGTAAGACAGGATCTATAGCCCGGGTCAGTCTTTTCTTAGGGTAAGCGACTTCATGGCCGGACTTCAGGAGACAAGAAGATACACGGGTGTCCACCAGCCTGGCGCAGGTCATGCGAACGATGCTGGACTTGGCAACGATAAATGCTGACGCGATAGAGAGGAACTCGCAAGTTCAACCTCCTCATGTAGGAGCCAAATAGATGCTAGAATAGTGCTGTCCGATCAATCGTGCTCGAGAGCTCCGATAGAACAGCTAGCCAGTGCATGAACCATTGGTTCTTCATGCATGCCAAGATTACCCAGCTCGCTAAGTCAATGACGTGTTGGATATTCTGACCCAATCTGCCACTGCTGAGATCATGGAAAACATGATGATCATGAGGAGGAAGATCGTGATGAGGATTACTGCTATCATATCAGGGTCCACATCCATGAAAGACAATTCCTTGGGGCACACTGCCGTACCGTGATTCGCATAGACTTTCTGCAGCGATAAACCCCTCTCATCCTCCCGCCTATTTTTCCCCGCCTATCAGCCCAATAAGCGTACTGCGAACAGGAATAGTAATGCCACGAGGGCTTACCCACCAACCACTCAGGAGCACCATCTCAGCTGCATGCATACATCGATATCGCAACCCTGCATCAAATCTCAATAATCGGTTTTTGCTTCTTTCCTCGTGCAGATCAGGTGACTCCATAAACGGGTGTTTTAGCGGGGGCATTCCCCGCCAGGTTTTGGTGTCTTACACACTCGCTGAACGGTTTGCGTTGCCTTGCATAACCTTGACCTGAACTTGTATAACCCTGACTTGAGCCAGTTTTCGCCCAGCAATTCCGCATCTTGTGGACAAGGGATCAAGACGCGGTTAAATTAAGATCATCTTCATCCTCGAAGATTCAAAGGCTTCGTGCATCACAGAAGTACAGGTAAGTTAGCAGGGGCCATCCTCGCCAGGTCTTGGTATCTTACACCCTAGCCAAAAGGTCTGGGCTGCCTTGAATTATCCCGACCCGAACCAGATCATACCGAGCGATTTCAGTCCTTGTGAAACGTGTGATCAAAGCGCATTTAAACCAGCCCGTCCTCATGCGCACCGATTCAAATGCTTCCTCCATAACTGGAATATGGAACAACGGCTCGACTACTTCGCCACGCGGCGTGCTGTATAACGGCTCTGAACCTCTGGCATGGGCCTTGTCTTCCGTTGAGAGAAACCAACCCCAGTTATCAAATCGCACCCACCTGGACACAGTGCAAGTGCAGGCTGAACTTGGTCCGCTGCTGCTCTGATCCATGTCCAGCGTGTTGTGCCCGACAGCCCGCTGTGGCCGAACGCGACGTCGCGGTACCAGACGTACGAACCCCCGCAGATCAAGGTCGTCGTGCAAGTAGGATGCGAGGAAGATGTTGCCACTGTCGTAGGTCTTGACACCTTTCCTCACGCTCGCAGATTGCTCAGGAAGCATGCAAGACCAGACGCACAGCTAACCCGAATATCAGGTTCAATATGCCAACGCGATCAGCTTGCCTTTCTACAGGGTCAACCGAGGCCACGGCATGACAAGTACTCAGGGCTAGTTTCACGGACTGAAATTGACATGCAACTCCTGACTGGAATCGAAATCAATGCAAATGGGGACTCGGCTCGCTTCCAAGGCGGCACGTTCACCCAGGAGGTGATGGGCGTGCTGTGGAAACAGGGCTATGTAGCAAGTCAGTTCCCCCACGCTCTCTTCCTACATTGCATCAGATAAGCCGAAAGGCTGACAATCTCCAGCCACTGAAAGCTGCGGCTGCGTCGGAATGGTCGGACTCGGTCTTGGCGGAGGCCACGGCCGTCTGCAGGGACGCTACAGGCTGGTCAGTGACAAGTACCTCGGCCTGAACGTGGTCCTGGCGAACGGGACAGTGATCACCGTGTCAGAAACCTCGCATCCCAATTTCTTCTTGGGGATGAAGAGGGCCGGGCACAATTTCAGCGTGGTCACCAGCTTCGAGCTGCGCATCTTCCCCCGTCAGGAGGAGACCTGGTACTAAGAACCTGTGGAACGAAGGCCAGCCAACCCAGCGGCCGACGACGTATGCCAACTACGCTTTGGGGATGGAGTCGCTGGAGTCGATGTATGGGTATGAACGCTGGCGGTTGGAGAGGCTGCGCGCGTTGAAGGGGGGGTATGATCCGGAGAATCGGCTCGCGTATTTCAATCCTATCCCTGTTCAGAGGGTCTGCGTCTAGTCTGGAGTGGGTGTACAACCGTGATGACATGGAATTATGCATGCATATCCGAGTACCGGGATTCACGGCATGACACCTTGGCCTGGGAGTTCTGGCAAGGCTGATTGGGGGATTTTCTGTTATTTCTTGCTTCGCCGACTCGCAGATCGGAGAAGGTCCGACCTTACCTAGGTTGGGCGATATAGTATGTGGTCATAAAAAAACTCTATGTTCTATCTATTCTAACTCTTCAGCCGGCGAGTGGATCGGGCTAGGGTTGACAGCACGGCTGTCAATTGGCGTGGGAGTCATCCACTATACCGCACCGCACATATATTTTCCTGAAATCTCCTGGGTCTGCGCTTACCAAGATTCCACCGGCGGGCAAGCAACGGGAAGCAAAACCAACCAGAAGAAAAGATATCATAATGATAATTTGGGAATAAAAACATGAGGTGAAGAGTAGAAGAGGAGATAGATGCAAGTGGACAACAACTGCAGCACCCAACCCCCAAACTAAGGAAATCGTGGGCCGACAGGCCGGAGATACCGTTCCCGGCATCAGCTCCGCGCACCACAAATCCCATCCGACGGGACTGTTGAAGCCCTAAAGAAGCAGCACTACGTCAACACCTGTCTCCGGCGTCTTATTGGCCGCTAACCAAGGAACTGTTGTTGTGTCGTGATAAGAGAAAAACAAAGGATGAGGGGTGGCTGGGCTGAGAACGCGACAATTCTTCTTCAAGTGGAGCCCTCGCCAGCATCGGATGGACCAGACTCGGCAAAAGCTCATGTCGATCGTCGATCGGAACTCCCCCCACAGGCCCATCGCGAACGAGATCAGCAGCCGAGCTGAGCTGACTTGCGGCAGATCCGCTCCCATGGATCTTCAGCTGAACAGGAAAACGAGGAAATCGAACTTGTTGTGTGCTGCCTGTGGGGGTGATTTGCTCTGGTGCGGCGGGGTATAAAATGTGCCGATTGTTCCGGGCGTGGTATGGCATTGGTGCCTGCCTTTGCATACGCATTCAACAACAAGCATTTTTTACAAACAACAACAACACCACCACCAAAACAGACAAGATGGCGCGAGACGAGGAACTCCTTTCTCTGTCCAGCTTCGGCGAGGACCTCATCGCGAGCGGCACCTTCTCCTCCCTGGACTCCCTCGACATCTTCTCTACCGCCACACTCACGAACCTGAAGCGCAAGCACCTAGCAGTCGCCCCCGATGTAGCACCAGCCCCAACCCAGAAGCTTTCCCCTCTGGCGGGCTGGACTACCATGTCTCGTTCACTATCAGCGGCTTCCCCGGAGGTCCCGCTTGCCCCCGCCAACGAGCTGATCATTGGCGGCGCAGTCGTCAACAACGTCGCCCTCGTGGTGGGGGAGTCAATCTCGAGCGATCCCGCGCCCGAGCACAAGGACCAGGATCTGTATAGTGATGTCAAGGTCCTGCCGGTGCCGGTCTCTGGGGTCCACCGAGGCGGGGGATCGCTTCTGGTCGCCTCGATCGGCAAAACAGCCGCGCCGCCCATGCTGCTGCTGCCGGCGAAGAACGATGCGGAAATCGCCTTCCCCGAGGCAGCGAAGCCGGTCACGCTGCCGGATGTCAAGAAGGAAATCACGGCCGCGAAGGGGGAGGTCGGGGCCGCTGCGGTTGATTCCTATGTTCTCAGTGGCGACATCAAGAACTTCTTCGGCATCAAGGGGCTGAAGGCGAAGCTTTACTCCTTCAGAAGCGAGGAGAGCAAGAAGAAAGAGGATGAGAAGAAGACAAAAAAGGGCGAGAAAGACGGCGACGAGAAAGAGGGCGCGGAGGCAAAACCTGACAAGAAGCTTGCGGTCGGATCGAAGGATCCCAAATCAAAACCCAAGAAAGAAAAATCGGAAGATTCCGAGACTAAGGGCAAGAAGGACGGAAAGGCAAAAGAAAAGAGCGACAAGGAAGATGAGCCGATCCAAGAAAAGGTCAAGCTGAAGGATATGGATTCCCCGCTGGGCATCCTCTTCCCCGAAATCGAGCAGTCGACTATCCAGAAACTTCCGCTCAAGAACCTGGAGTTTACCTACAGCAACAAAGAAAAGGACAGTCTGTTCCCGGTCGGATTGCGACTCGAGGGTGATTTGGACTTTAAGGATGGCCTGCAGTTTGTCTCGGACGGGCTGAAGAATGTCTTTGGTACCGACAAGGGGACAACCCTGCCTTCCAAGTTGCGGGTCAGCGCGTTGATTGCCAAGGAGCGAGACTGGAGCAAGAAGCCGAAGATTGAGGGCTTGGTTCTGCAGGCGTATGCGGATATGACGTTGCCGAGGTGGGATTTCCTGGAGTTTAAGACGGTAGGCATCGAGTTGTTGGTGAGGAAGGAGGAGAAGAAGAAGAAAAAGGATGACAAGAAGGACGGTGAGAAGGGTAAGAAGGGTGAGGAGGACGACAAGAGCGACTCGAGCAAGCAGAAAAAAGACGACAAAGATAAGGGTAAAAAGGGAAAGGTGCAGGATGCCCAGCCTGAAGAAGGTCCTGAGTCTGCATCCCTTAAAGTGGCAGCCAAGGTGAATGTGCTCGAAGTTGAATCCGGACCTAAAGACCTTGTGGAAGTTTCCAAGCCAAAGGAAACCGAGCCCAAGGCGCCGGATGGAAAGGTAAGCAAAGCGTGTCTTTACCTGCAACTCACCCGAATTCGCTAATGTTGGACACAGGACAAATTGTCCAAGGACGAAGGTAAGGATGACAAGAAAGACAAAGAATGGAAACTGGGATTCGGACTATTCGGCAAACTTAATATCACCAAACTGCCGAAGTCGAAGGGAACTCTGGAGGCGAGATACTGGATCCGGGGAGGTGACTGGAAGGACACAGGGAAAAAAAAGAAGGATAAGAAGGATGATAAGAAGGACGACAAGAAAGACGAGAAGAAAGACAACAAGAAAGACGGTAAAAATACAGACAAGAAGACTGACCGGGCAGTAGAAGATAAAGAGGAGAAGGCAGATGATAAAACTGTGGGAGATAAGAAAAAAGCAGACAAACCAGACTCTGATCTAACAGGCAAGAAGGACGAGAAGGCCGCGAAGAGCAAGAACGAGAAGGACGAGCAGGATGGTGGAAGCAAGTATGATTGTAAGTTCATCTCGCCCAGGTTGGGTTGAAGATAAAACTTACGTGGTCTGCAGTGCTCATCAATGTCGGCAAGTGGGATAACTTCTGCGGTGTCGCAAACCTGAGTGTAAGAATCTCCGCCGATTCTCAAAACATCACTCCCCCCTATGCTAACCTCTTATCCATAAACAGATGAAGAAAGCGGAACTGCGCGCCTTCTTCGAACCAGGAGAGTTCAAAAAGACCTGCACACTGACTGTAGAGGGCTCTCTTGAGTTCCCTCAGGGTAGCCTCGAGGAGGAGAAGAAAGACAAGAAGAAGGATCAAGATGGAGAGGAGCCAGATGGTAGCACAGAAACAGCAGAGAAAAACACCAAAGAGAATGCCAACCTGCCTTCAGACACAAAACCCAAGCCGTCAGCAGCGACTGAAGGCCAGGCCAAAGGAAAGGAGTCAAAGGGCGAAGACAAGAAGAAGGATGGCGACAAGAAGGATGACGAAGACAAGGAGAAGCCAAAGAATGCTACCTTGGAGATCAAAGGCCAATTGTCCAGAAGTAAGTCCATCTATGATTCTTGCTACAGCGGAGCTCTACTCATCCCCACACAGAAGATTATCATTTCGACGCCAAGGTGGGAAACTTGAAGCTCGAGTCTATCTTGAAGATCTACGCCCATATCCATGGAGTCGAACCAAAGACTGAGGGCATCCAGGACCACAATTTAACCTTCGAAGAGCTGCACCTCAACATTGGTCGGAAGCTGAATAAGAAGGTGAGTGAGAAGAAAGCAGACAAGAAGAAGGGAGATGAGAAGAAGGGAGATGAGAAGAAGGGAGATGAGAAGAAGGGAGACAAGAAAAAGGTGGATGAGGAGAAGGAAGATGAAACGAAAGAGAACAAGGGGCTCAAAGACAGCGAGAATCCTCTGACTGAAGCGAAGGGGTCTGCAGAGGAAACTGTTGCGGACAAATCCAGTCTGAAAGCTGAGGCCAAGGAAAGGAAAGAAGAGGCCGCTGCAGTGACTGACCTGAAAGGAGCAACCAAGGGTGACGAAAAAAGTGTCACCAAGAAGGAGGATGAGGAAGAAGAGACGGAATGGTCATTTGAACTATCCGGCAAAGTGAGCTTTAACGACGTCAAAAGCGTGCACGGCCTGATTAAGTACGACAGCACCGGCTTGACCATCGAAGGCGGGGTGGAGGATTACAAAGTGAAGGACGCTGATATTACCATCAAGGAGGCCCGGATTGATATATTCATCGGGGCAAAGCCCAAAACCGACAAAAGGCTAAAGGAGCACAGCAAAAAGGGCTCCTTGAATGAGTCTGACGCCGGTGGTGGCGAGTCATCCGTTGCGAAATCATCCAAACAAGACAGCTCGGGAAGAAAGGGGCTTGTCAAGAAAGATACCGGCAAAGACAAGGAGGTCCTTCTCAACCGGGCGAGCAAGTTCTCCATCAGAGGCAAGGTCACCTTCAGTGGAGTGACTGTGACGGTGGCCTTCCTCACCGAGCGTAAAGAGACAAACAAAAAGTCGAAGCAGGCTTCTGAACGCGAGTGGATGATTTATGGTCTGGCTGATACGGACCTCTGCCTGGCAGAGCTTTGTGACACGCTTAAAGGCACCCCCCTTGAGAACCTCAAGTTGCGGAACATCGCCGTGATCGCGGCATCTGGCGAGATCAAGTCGGTAAAAGAGCTGAACACCCTGAAGTATCCGATCCGGAAAGGTAGGTCGGCGATCGTTAAGCACGTTCTGGTCCCTTCCCTTTGACACAGGAGCCCTGACCTGAGCGTAGGAATCTCATTATGCGCGACTATACTACCCCTCGATGAGCTCAACACCCTTGCCAAAGAGAAGGTGGATGGATTAGTTCTATGTGCCACCATTCAGCAGAAATTGGACCTCAAGATCTGCTTGCCTTCGTCGATGGATGTGGGTTGCTCTCCCTTCGCCGGTTATCATAACACCCTAACGCATGTCGGTCGCAGATCCATTTTTCCCCAACCGTAACACTGGGCGATATTGCAGTCGGCATTGAAATCAGCAAGAACCCTAGTCTGTCGCTCGAGGGCGTTTTGACTATCCTGATGGAATCGGGCCAGGATCCATTAGTCCTCGAGGGAATGGTCCGAGCAGGGGTGCTGAATGCCTCCGCTTCGGTGTAAGTTATCTGGACTGAGGGTATATGAACAATGCTGACAATCTCTGTAGTGCGACTAAACAGCCCTGGGTGAATCCCTTCAACGTCAGCAAAGAGGTCACAATCGCAGACTTCCGGGTCGAGATACTAATCGAATATGCCAAGTTCCTGGAAGTCGGTCCCTCGTGAGTATTCAATGCATTCTATCTCAACGAATCTTCTTGCCCGGGAATGCTGATATGCGAAACCAGGAAACTCGGCCTCGGAGGGCAGCTCGAAGTTGGAGATTTCGAGGCCGGGGCAGCAATGGTGATCAGCCACTTCCCCGACGACCAACTCATCTCTGTCAACATCTCCGAAGTCGACCTCATCAAAATAGTGCAAGTTGCCGGCAAGGTGGCCGATATCCCGCAGTTGGAAATGATGACGGGAGCAGAAGAAACGTTCGTGTTCACAGACGCCAAGTTGTACGTCTCGACGGGGGCGACCATCGCCGACAAGGAGTATCCGCGAGGCATCTCCGGCGGCGGCAAGCTGACGGCATTCGGCAAGACGGCCGAGTTCGAGCTGAGCATCGGTGCTGCGGGACTGGACTTCAAGGGCGCGATCGACAATTTCAGCTTGGGCCCGCTCGTGGTCTCGTCGGCCAGTGGCGAACCCCGGGCGAGCATGGTGGCACTCATGACCAAAGAACAGCAGGTTGTTAAAATAGATGGAATGGTGACCTGCTTTGGAGTCGGGCTGGTTACCCTCGTGGACATCCAGCTGGGAACGGAGACTCCTTCGTTCAACGCCTACATCGCTGTACAGTTTACCAAAGCATTCACGATCAGCCTGCAGGCGACGACCACGGACTTTAGCAGTGTGCGTGACCTAGCCAACCAGGGCCTCGACTTCCAGGCCGAGATCCATGGCGATCTGTTTGACATGATCTGCGAGAGCATCAAGAACATGATCAAAACAATCGAGAAACTGGGCACGGATGGCATTGAGTCCGTTCAAAACCTCATCGGGGCCAAGATTGCGGAGAAGCAGGCCGAGATGGATCGGCTGGCAAAGGAGCTGGAGGATGCACGGGTAAGACTTGAGGCAAACCGTAGCCAGCGTCAAGTGGAGATCAAGAAGGAGGAGACGAAGCGGAAACAGGCACAGGATGAGATCGCGCGGTTGAGACAGAATTTGGCCACTGCTAAGAAGAACAAGTCCAAGGTCGAAGCAGAGTTGAAGCAAAAGGTGCAGCGGGCGGAACTGGACAAAGAGTCTCTGATTCAACGGAAGAGAAAGGAGTACAGCGACAAACTGGAAGCGGCCAAGGCGGAGGAGGCTCGAAATCGCAAGGAGCTGGAGAGGCTGAAGAGGGAACAAGCGAACCGATATGGAACGGACTTCCTGAAACGGGCAGAGTTGGCTAAGGGCGCCTGGTATGAGAAGATGGCGATCGAGAAGGCCTCCTGGGCGGAGGTCCAAAAAGCGTATTGGGCGAAATGCAATGCGAAGTGGTATGAAGTCCTTTGACACTGACTTTCACTGACTTTGAGAATATCAAGAGCTAACTCTAGTAGGTATAATTTTGTCCCCTTGGTAGGTTTGCATGCAAGAAAAGAGGATTTAGGACGGCCATACAGAGCAGACAGCTAATTCATGTTTACAACAGGCCGCGGCATTGGAGGCAGAGAACGCACGCCACGAAATTGTCAAGGCAGCTACTGCCGTTTACCATGAAACAGCCAAGGGATTTGATGCCACAATCAACTCCGATGCCTTTCAGGGCCTCGTCACCGGGATAGAGAAAGCAGCTGAAGCAGCTGAGAACGCTGCGAAGGGTATTGATAACATTATCAAAGGCGGCGGATTTGACGGTTTCGTGAGGGCGTTTGTAGAGACGGAAGACAGAAAGCTCCAGGCAGCGATCGACAATCTACATGCGATGCAGAGTGAGAATAGCAAGTATCAGAAGGCGATTCGGGATGCACAAGCCATCCTCGACAAGAATGGACCTAACCTGGAAGCCGAGATTCGAGCTGCGGATGAGGCAATCACCCGCATCCACGAAGACGCAGAGCTCGCGAAGCTCCAACGAGAGTACGACTATCGGCTCAAGGTTCATGAAGAGGTCCACAATGCCATCAAGCAGATGGACGCGGGGCTGGAAGCCCTCAAAAAGGACTGGCAAAACGGCATGCAAAAGCTCCAGGACTTTGTGAACGAGATTCAAAAAAAGATATCCTCCGTCTTTCACATCGAGAAGATCGTGGTTGGTGTCCACACTCATGCTCTGGTCAACGACAAGCCGCTCCTGTTCAAATTCCATGGTACGGTGGCTAATAGGAGTTTTGAGGTTGAGGCGGAGTGGTCGCCAAAGATAGCCATCGGTGACCTTTACAAGAAGGTAACCAACGAGATCTTGAAAATTTGCTAATCGGTTGCGTACTTCCCGAACGGCTCTCTCTATACACGAAGAGTTGGATCATGCTCCAATTCATGGTCTTTGATTAGTCCCTTTAGAGAGTATCAGGCGCGATAGCTAGAACTATCCTGGATTAAGCTATACAAACCGTCTTTTGCAGTGGAGCAGTGAGGTCTTAAGAAACGGATTTGGAATTTTAGTGCGCAGATTCCATACAGTCAAGGAGATGAAAGAATTGAATAGTTCATGTTGGTGACTGGTCATGAGCAAAATGAGCACATTCCAAAACCCAGAACCTATTTTTACCCACTCAGTCCTTCAAGCCTCAAAATCTTCTTCTGTTGAAGCAGATATAACGAGTATCAAGAAGGCCCATGATCTAGAGAACAACAACCAGTCTCCCTTTCAAATGAGGGTCCATATACTGGTCTGGAAGATCCATGGCCTCCTCAAGCTTCACCGTCTTCACGTAAGACCGGACCCCTTTCTTCGCGACGAACTCCATCATATCCGACAAGAGGCGCTGGTTTGCGACCAAACTTCCACGAATAACCAGCTCCTTAAATACCAGGTCGTAGGCCGAGAACTTAAAACCTTCCACGGGCAGCCCCAGCGGTACACAAACCCCGTGAGGCCGGAGAAGCTTAAGACTCCATTCCGTCGCGTCGACGCTGTCGGTGCAAACCAGCACGGCCCCCAATCCACTCCCTTCGGCAAACCCAACTACCTCCTTCGTGGCATGAGGACTATTATAGTCCACGACTTTACCGGGTTGCAGGTGAGCCGGTAGTTCACTGGCCAGCTGCCGCCCTTCGGGTCGGTTGTCAATCGCAATGGTCGGATGCCCTAATCCCGCCGCAAATTGCAGGGCAAGGTAGCCTAGACCTCCGACACCGATAACTCCAATAGGGAGGTTGGGGTCTACTCCTGTTTTCTTGAGGCTAGTCCAAACGGTAGCCTATGGTATATAGTTAGGCGGAAAACATGAAACCTTGGACGATGTTGTCGTCGACTCACCCCAGCACACATCAGCGGAGCAGCCTGTTCAAACGATACCCCATCCGGCAAAAGCACCGAAGTGGCTGGGTCGGCCACGATGTACTCCGCAAATGCCCCATCAGCATTGACACCAGCATTCTCCTTGTTCTCGCAGAAACGAGTATCAGGCTCGTCGGCCCGAAGGGGGTCGCGCGCAAGATCACAGCCTACGCACGCATGACAAGCCCCCCGAAAGTTCAGCATCCCAATACGCTGACCAGGCCCCCAACGGCCTGTCACATTCTTTCCGACCGCCACGATGGTTCCTGCGGGCTCATGCGATGGAGTCACGGGCAAGGGGGACTTGTAGACCCCGTTGTAGATCTGGTGGTCTGTGTGGCAGAAGCCGGCGGCCCCGACTTTGACCAGGAGCTGATCGTCGCTGATGATTGGGATCGGGATATCCTCTAACTTGTATGGGGCTCCATACTGATGAGGCATGAGATATAAAATGTCAGTGTGTTCGTTTGCGGACTGTCTGTCTGTTTAGGGAGATGAAGAAAATCTGAGCTGGATAGGTGAGCAGAGGGTGATGGTTACCTGCACAAGCCTGAGGGCTTTCATACTGTGAGAACCCATGATTGATCTTGCTATTCAAAACCGCGGTGATTGTGTAGGATGAAGAATATTGAGCTGAGCTGTAATGGAAGTTTAGGATACAAAGAAAGCTCACGGCGAGGCGAGTGACTCCTGCTATTTATGCTTAGGTCAACCCACGAGAGTTCTTCTACGCATCAAAGGCTGATCAAAGGGGGTACCGACCCTGGGTGTAGTAAACTCTGATTTATTTATGCTTCGGGAAGACCGTTAAACCAGAAACGTGAACTTTTGTATTGACACAATTGACCATCCTGTGAGGTTCAGCCTACAGCACTTCAAAGATTCATGTTCGAAGCCCTGATTCCTTTTTCCAAGAGATGACGATACCACACCAATATCACTCCACATATCTTGGATTTCTTTCACTACTAATCACAGACAGCAGTAACACATGTGTGCTCTTTTGTGCGAATTCATTTCTAGTCTGCATTCTATGAAGAAGACTCGACGTAAATCTGATTGATTCTCTAAGATCTGTGGTTCAACAGTCCCCTAATACATTCCCATCGTCAGAACTCTAGTCCTGCTTGGCCATTTCAATCGCAGGCTCCCAGCTCTGGCGCCTGGCCGTAAATACCTCCTGACTCGGACGAGATATGTTATCCCAAAGCGAGGCTTTGAGAAGTGTCTTGCCCAGGAAATCGGGGCTCTTAGTCAAGACCGGGCTACACTCGAAAGTGTTAGTGCAGGGAATAAGAGCAAAGAACTATTGGAGGCTGGTAACCGCGAAAACTTGCCTTCCACATTCGCTAATTGGCGCTAGGAGATTCAGAAACAGTATCTCAGTAAACCGCCGTTCGCTCGAAACTGCGACACCCAAGAAACACCTACCAGGACTACATTCCCACTCTGCGTGTGGTAATCACCGTAGCTCTTCAGAGACAGCCCTGATCCTTTGATCGTGATACCAGAGTCATTCAAGACGTAGTTCATGGATGAAGCTGGGCTTCATGGTCAACAATCACTGGGCGGTCCGAATCCGTGTTTCTTACCGCCCCCGGATCGCCCGCAGTTCCGACTAAATCACATGCAGATCAGTTAGAGTTGTGTTTCCCCTGGTACAATTGGTCTAGGAGACTCGACTCATCACTACCAGTGGCATCTCAACGACTGAGACGGTTGTTGCTGCAGCGACACTTGGATTCGCCCGCACAGGCAGTGTCCATCGTAGGGCATGCTAGCGTTAGAACCTGGGTATGCTGCAACGAGGTGGCGCGGAAGATATAGGAGTCAAAGTAAGCGAATAGTAGTAGAAGTGTTATTACCTATTGCAGGGTCGCTCTTATCATTGGCGTGGCCCCAGCCATGGGTGGATCCTGTGTTGATGCATTAAGTGATGAAGGAGCCCATCACCTTACGATTTCTCTTTCCTCGGTGCAGTGCTGCTGCACACGTCACTGAATGTCCGCCCGTCAAGGGGTACTACTCTATTGGTTCCTGGCTTATTCGTCGTGATTAGGGTCCTCAAAGTCTTCAGAAATCAAGATAAGGCTCGACGTGCATGCCCCACAGCGGCTGCGCTTCCACTTACCCTTATTACCAGCCTAAGCAGGACCACATTCGCGCGGTCGGAAACAGACGTGTACTGTTATCTTGGCAGCTCGAAGGGGGGTTTTTAGAGAGTTGTATTTGGCAATCACTACTGTGGTAGTCCATTGACAAGTTCACCGAAGTGGTCGCCCATAACTGACTCAATTTGAATTGGGGTAAGGTGAACAATGGAGCTCGTCAATAGCTCCTATTGTGTCACGTGACTTGGTTTCAACTATCACAGTCTTCTATGCGGACACTCGGACTATACGTTGCTATAATAAGCTCAGGAATGTGAAATATGATTCTATGCAATAAGTAGACAAATGTCACGTTCTTACTCTCTGCTGCCGGTAGAGGCATGCTGGTTACGGCAAAAGAAGAGCATGTTTTCCGGTCCACATCATCCTGCTAAACCTCGCCACGCCTCTTGTTAGTCTTTACGTTTTGCACCACACTACAGTGCACTCATCTCTGTTCAGGATAGATAACACCCTGATTAGCTTATATGACTCGGAGTTTCTATCACACAACAAGGTGCGAAGAATTAAGGGTCGGCTTTCAAGCACCGGACTTAGTTCAAGGCATAGACGATCTTATAGCCAGAAATCTCTCCATCGCGATACTCTTGGAATCCTTCAGGCACTGAATCCAACCCCTGACGCAACTTGGGAAGGCTAGGCTTGAGTGCACCTTTCTGCAACCAGGAAGGAAGCTTATCGAACAATTCAGCTGAGAGCTCATGATCGCTCTTGGAAGCCTGCATGCAACTTACGTGAGTATCTACTTGAGCCTTGACGGAGTGCGGTTCAAGATCAAGCCACTTACCGGCCATTTGAACTCGCCATATGTGTGATCCTTGAAGAAGGAGGTCCACACCAACACATCCGTAACCCGAGTCCCGGATGCCACCTTCTCGGTATTCGCTTTGCCAGGTCGCACGGTGCACAGGGACCCAGTTTCCGTCTGGAAAGCGCAAGAGGCCGTCGACGACGATGCGGGATTGCCGATCGTATCAAAGGCGTAGCTGAGCGTGGGAGCCACCTTCTTGATCTTGTCGACGACCTGATCATCTTTATAGTCGAGGACGTGTCGGGCGCCGTGCGAGCGCACGAGTTCCGCGTGTTTGGGGCTACAGGTGGTGATGACCTCCAATCCATACATGGTGGCCAGCTGAATGGCGTAGAGACCAACGCTTGCTATGAAGGCTCGGTTAGTTGGAAGATGGGAGAATGGAAAGACTAGACACATACAGCTGCCACCCCAGATCAGCACGCTGATACCCTTCTGCTGGTTACAGTCGATTCCCAGGCAGCCCTTGGAGAAGAGCGCTAACCATGCGGTCGCGGCAGCCAGAGGCACAGTGCTCGCATGCTCACGCGAGATATTGCACCCTGACACTGGATACGAGATTCTCTCGTCGGCCAGGGTGTACTCACTGTAAGCGCCGAGACCCGGAGTCTCGCCTTTCATGTTCGTCAGCTCGGGATTTCTTTGCCAGATAAGCTGGATTTCTATCAGCCATACCACCCCAAATCAAACCAGCGATGATATCACCCTTCGCGTACCGTCGCACGGAGCTGCCGACTTCGACCACTTCGCCGACAAAATCACAACCCAGGACAGCGCCATCGCCAAAAGCGCGGTTATCCAACGATTGCACTGCTGTTCTGTTAGGCACACTTTTGCTTCAACACTATGCACGAGCTATGGTGGGGGCTTGGGGGCAAAGAAAAGGGACGATAAGATATTGACTCATTGGGAAGAACATGCCGTCTGTCGGATTCTGTGCAGCATGGCTGATCTTCACTAGGACCTGCGTCTTGTTTGGTTGCGGAATGGGAATTGGCTCCTTGGAGAGACGGAGAGACTGGGGGCTATCCTCGCGGACTACGAGTGCCGACATGGTTGGGCTGGAAGTCATTTCGGCGATGGATGTTTCTGCGATGATCTGGTTCAGCTGACTTTCCGATGTTTTGATTCTCCAAATTGTAAGATAACCTTGACGACGCTGAAGCGATGATGGATGTATAAATAAGGTTAAAAATGTGAGGTGAGCATTTGAGTGACGACATAGCGGGCTTCTGACGCAGGATATATATTATAGCGTGATAGGCAAGAACCCGACACAGTCATCTTGATGGAAAATCTGCAAGAAGCCCGAAGAGACGAAACATGTCTCACACGATGACCAACAAGTAATCAGTGAGTATGACCTGTGAAATACTGTTGCATGAATAGATGGGTGGAGGGGTTGTGGGCGGGCGCTTACGCTTGCGCTTGCGCTTCCACTTGCCGCTTTGATTTATACCACGTGACCTCGATTCACTTGCCGCTTTCTCTTCCACTTTCCTTCTTCCCTCTCCATTACTTCATTTCGCATTGCCTTGTATCCTTCTTCTTTCCTCTCTGGTCGCAAAGGGTAAGGGTACACAAGGAAACAAAAAGGAACAGATTTTAGGAAGACTACTATGCAACGGCGAAGAACGCGTTCTGGCTGGTAAACTATCATTTCGACTCTCCTATGTGATGCGCTGACCATGAAACTATACAGCCTCCCGTGTCGCACTCGTCGGCGAAAATGTACGCTTGTCTAAACCTCCCCAGTCTTAGGACTCTGTTCTTACCTTATGTCTTCTTGCTGGCAAAATAGGCGATGGGGTACATCCGCGTTGCCAAAATTGCACCCTGCACGGGCGTCGATGCCAATGGGGCCTTAAAGCCTCGTTTCATCACTCACGCAACCTCACACTATCACGCACCGACGCAGCGGACCTTGCGAATCATGAGCAAGAATCATTAACCTCGCTAGGAAATTATTTCAGGGTTTGGAATAGCCTACTCAACCATCCTAAACCCCAAACTTATGGAGAATTAAAGGTTATCAACGAGACGGAGACAACGATCCGGGATTATAGCTTCCTACAGGATGCTGCCTCCCCACCCTGGAGCCTGGAGCCCTCGCATGACCGAGACCCACCGTTGCAGTGCAGCACGGCCAACTCACTCGAAGCGCTGCAGGCACGCATCGCTCGCCCGAAGCCGAATAACAGCGCACTCGTCGTGGCTGGCCAAACCTGCAGCAGTCCCTCTTCTCAGCCCCAGACACTGAGGGGGATCGTGCACGTCGCAGAAGATGAAAACCCCGTTGGCAAACTTATGGCACGGTCCACCTTCGAGGATCTTGATCAGACAAACGGCTCATCGGAGACGCCGCCCTCCCTCGGCGCCAGCCCCGAGTCTCCAAGCACGGCCAACGCGCACCACTCGGTCGCAGCCAGTGAGCCCAACTCTGATACGCATATTGCGCCTTTCTCGTTCGGGAAGGCTTGTTCTGGGGACATCTGCATCCTGCCTGAACCACCGTCTCCCGTTTCCGAGTCAGAGCAACTCAGGCTAATCAGCTTCTATTTAAGAGGAACAGGAACTTGGTGCGAGACTACCGACTCTGATAGACATTTCACAGTGTTCAGTATCTATGAAATGATGAATTCATCAGCGTTCGTCGCAGCAGCAATGGCTCTCGCCTCTCGCCACTTAGACCACCTTCAACGTAGACAGCGCTCCGTCACCCTGGAGCTATACCAGCACACCATCCGCCTGTTGCTGCGGCAAGACCCCGCCCGCGCTGACTCCTCTGTGCTGGCAACATGCACACTACTATGTGTCTACGAGATGATGGCCTCGGGCGTTGACGAGTGGCGACGTCATTTGAAGGTTGTTTTTGCTAGCTGATTTCGAACATACTCGGGAAACAAATCGCTAACCAAAACTGTAGGGGTGCGCCGGCCTGCTCCAGTCGAAGAAGTGGAATGGGTGTAGCCCTGGCATTGTAAAATCTTGCTTCTGGGCGTTTGCGCGAATAGGTAACCTACACCGATGTGAAGCTCTGGGTCTAGTTGAAGTTTGGCTGATGTAAAGCTCCTGGCATCCACCTTCTGTCACAGACGTCTGGGCTGCTTTTGTCACCCGCAAGACGACCCTGATCCCCGCCCACTTCTGGATGAACGATATTTCCCTTGAGTCGCTGGGCGCCAAGGGCAAGGTGGACGACTACTGTAACATGGCAAATCTGATTTTTGCGAAAATCATCAATCTCTTGGCGAGTTCTTTTGATCGTAACAATGTTGAATTGGGGGGGTCGGTGGCGGCTCTGTGGGATGAAATGCAGGGCTGGTACCGGCTTCGGCCGCCGGATGTCTACCCGTTGTTGCGACAAGATCCATCCCTGGGCAGCGTGTTTCCTAAGATCCTACACGCTCGAACATCGGCTAGTGAGTGGTTTCTTTCCGTGGGCGGAGCCAACGGTCAGTACTGATGTAGCTCCTTCTAGTTTGTGGCAATACCTATTACCATACCGGTTCGATCCTGCTCCTACAGACGGGGGCTGTTCAAACCACCCCGAGCACTCAAAATGCTGTACGTGTACGTAGCCTTCGCGAGCTCTAGTCTTGTCACTTACATGAAAGCAGCAGGCTAATGCCCTCTGGCATGCACGTGAGCTGATGGGCATCTCCACTTGTAATCCATCTCAGTAAATTCCTACTTCCCTCTACATATCGCAAGGGAACGAGAAATCACCTGCACCTATTCCGCGAAAGTACTGTCGTGTTGACCAGAAGGCGTACAGTGCGAATTGGGTCAATCATCTGCAACCCCTATACATCGCAGGAACTGTCTTCGCGGGGTACTGCACAACCTCTCCCCCGTCGAAGCACGGCCAGTCGCAAAATGTGGCGAGGTATCAGTCGGCAACTCAGCAGCCAGGGAGTCCAGATCTGTTGGACCTTACAGGAAGCGGAGCCCTTTCCGTTCAAGAATCGACCATGGCGGAGGAATACGCCACGGAGAAGATCCTGTTGCTGGAACATCTCTCGCGGATCGAAGCGGAAACTGGGTGGAAGACTTCCGATCGTGCGGCTGAGCTGAGGGGACTCTGGGGTCTTGGGTAGACTGTGATTATCATTCACGACTTATAGGCGTACTACGAACAGATATTCGAAGCCTCAACTGGTGGAGTGCAATGACGTAGCACGAGGAAGAAGAGCCACATCCTTGTTCAAATGGGACAAATAGAATCCAACTTGACCAGCCATGTGTCTGGAATCAACCCATACTACAGGATTATCATTCAGCGAGCGAACCTCAGGGAATGTCGCCAAAACAATGCAGAGGGCTTCCAGATGATGACATGAAGCCAGATTATGATGATATTCTTCATATAGCTAAGCAAGGAAAACAGACTCATGCAACAGGGGGGTATCGAGCGCCGAAACCGTTTACGTGACACATCAATCAAAACCCTTGGACAAGAAGAAATTTAATGGCATCGGCCACGTGTTCAGGCCGAATTTGAACCTGGTAGGATAGAAAAGGAGAGGAATCACGGTTCTAGATGTCCGCCCCCTCTCATAATTCATTCTGCTCCCACTTCTCTAGGTATTCGGACAGCTTCTCGAACGAGAAGGGCTTGGTCACGAACATATCCATCCCGGAGTTCAACGCCTCGGTCTCATCCTGCGCACTGCTGAGGCCGGTCAGTGCGATGATCTTGGCCGGGACGCCGCTGTCCCGCTCCCTTTCGAGGGCGCGGATCGCGCGTGTGGCTTCAAAGCCGTTCATCACTGGCATCGATATGTCTAAGCAGGGAGGGTTAGCATTATGTAGTTATCAGGACAAGAAGGAAGAGGAATACCCATGAAGATCAGGTCGTAGCCCTGCTTCTCCTGCTCGACCGCTTCGACGGCGCGCTTGCCGTTGTCGGCCGAAGCGAGCGCAGCCAGGTTCCGTTTCTTCAGGAATGTCAGGATGAGGTTGCGGTTGATGGGGTTGTCTTCGACGACTAGGACTCGCGGGCCCCGCGTGGTTCGTTCGATTACCGCATCCTGCTGTGTGGATGCGATCTGGCAATGTGGGCAAAGCGAGGGTAAGGATTTTGTAGCGCTTGCAGCTGGATGTTGGTTGTCGTGCCCGACAGGTAGTCCGTTCAGCTGAGGGGCAACAGAGGATGTCTCCGATTGTTGATTCAGGCAGCGCTCAATGGCAGCCGCCAGCTTCCACGGCCCGCACGGTAGGCGGACAAAGTTTACGGTCGGTGCCGACGACAGCCAGCCCGGCAGGGGGTTCGATGGAGATGCGGAAGGGTCCCATACGACGATTATCGGGGGAAGAATGGTGTCTGTTTCAACTGGGACGGTGGAAGTTCCATCCACAAGCATGAAGTCCACGGGCGAGTCGGAGTCGTGCGGCACAAGCTCAATCCCAAACCAGCCGATCAGGTAGCGGCTGATGATCGTCCATCGAGGGGACGACAAGATGTCCTCCGCGTCTCCTTCGAGAAGGATACTGGCTCGTCGCCCGGTATGCTTGCCAATCGGTCCAGAGCCTTTGCTTTCCTGGATCGTCAGATTCTGGAGATCGCGATCAAGGGAAAGATCCTCAAGACCAGGTCGAGTCAGAGGCATGGTTACTTTGACGATTGTGCCTTCGCCTGCGCGACTATCGAACGCGATGTCGCCATCGAGGGATTTTAGCAGACTGCGCACAATCGACAGCCCCAAGCCGGTGCCTACGGCCAACGGATCCTCCTGCGCGAATGGGGTGTAGAGTCGATTACGCAAGAACTCTTCGGAGATGCCCTTGCCCGTGTCGGACACCGTCAGCACAAGCGTTTCTCCAGCCTTTGCAGCAGCAGCAGCGCCCGCCTTCCGTGGCGCCGCCTCGATCACGTCCATCTCCAGGGATACCTTCCCGACCTCGGTGTATTTCAGCGCATTGCCCACGAGGTTCATGATGATGCGCCGCAGCGCGCCCGGGTGGGTCTGGTACATCCAATTGTGTTGCGCGATATCCAGCACGACTTCCACGGCTGGCTTATCTGAGGTCGGGTACGACGCGTCCACCAGCGACTTCTGCGCCATATTCTCCGGACAGTCCGACGGGGCGGTAGATCGTTGTCCATACGCGTGGCCCAGATACACCCCCTCCACGACTTCCTCGGCCAGGGCACTCAAGTCTGTCGCCACGGAAGTGTCCAGCAACGAGGAGGCGCCGGAGTTGGTTCGCTTCGCGCTGCGGCGCTTGGCGTGGGCCCGGCCGCGCTCCGATGAGACGGTCTTGCTGTAATCCAGCACCTGGTTCATGGTGTCGAGCAGGGTGCGGCCGCACTTGGAAATGGTGTCCAGCAAGGAGCGCTGGAACTCGTCCATTCGGGTGCCCTGCAGGAATTCGCCGGCGGCCATGATTCCGTGCAACGGGCTGCGTAGTTCATGCCTGTCATTGCATACATCGATTGAGTCAATCTTTCAGTGTCTTTTGATGTTCGGCTGAATGCGAGAATTGTGTTGGGGAAAAAAGGCCTTCCTTACGAGATACTACCAATGAAATGACTCTTCTGGCGGTCTGCGGCCACCGACTGCATGCGGATGTATTCGGCCATGACGGATGACCCGAACCCCAGCATGGAGCTTAGCTCGACGGCCGGGTTGAACACGCGCGTCTCCAGCGTGTTCCAGCAGAAGCACCCGGCGAACCACTGCGAGTCCGCCGCGTTCCACAGCGGCACGAACAGCACCTGCGTCGCGCCGGGGAAATAGCGGTTGAGGGTCGAGTTTTCGGAGGCTTTCTGCACCCGCGATTCGTCGGTGCTCTGCTGGGAGTCGGTGCGCGCGGGCGAGGGTCGGTCGTCATCGGAGCTGGAGAGCAGTCCGTCCCGGTGGAAGGACCACAGTCTGCCATGGCGATATCGGTCCAGCAACTGGTGCAGGAACTCGACGTTCAACTCCGAGGCTGGATACTGCGTCTTGGTCTTGGAGCCGGGCTGTGGGGCGAAGGGCTCGTGCGCGGTCGACGCCGCCAGCACATGGGGCAGAGTAGGTTCGCGCGGGGCTTTCTCGCCGATGTTGTTGCTGCTGCGCCATTTGGCATCATGGACAAGATGGGGGTCGGCGCGTAGGAAGATCACACCACCGTCGGTGCCCAGCTCCAGACTCTGCCGGATTAAGTTGGCCGCACGCTGGAACATCCACGAGTCCCCGGACGACGAGGCCTCCGGCGTTCGATTTGTGCTGGTCTCGGATCGCGACGCCGCAGACCCGCGCCTGTCGCGTGACGCGGATCGAGCCCCGGCAGACCGGATGCTCTGGCTCCACGTCCCACGGGAGCTGCGTGACCGATGCGAGCGAGTCTCGCTGTGCTTCACGGATGAGGAGTCCGCGGATCGCAGAGCGGAAAGGGTGGATAGCGGTGGTGGTGGTGGCGGCGACCACGACACCGAGGCGGTCCCCACGGCGGCGGGCGTGCTGGGAGCCGTCGAAGCCCGCTCCCCAATCTCCGAACTGCCTTCGACAAAGTAATTCAGGGCGCGGGAGAGTCTGGCCGCGCGTCGTCCATCGGTGGCCTGTCGACTGACGGCGAGATACTCGCTGACCAAGGCGCCTACGGTCACCAAGGCGTTCTTCTCGACCGCGCTCAGCCCCGCGGGGTGGGGCTTTTTGTCCAGCACGAAGATCGAGCCAATGTTGATCTTCTTCTCCGCGGTCAGCGGCGTGCCGGCGTAGAAGCGGAAGCCGGGGTCCCCGCGGACGAACGGGAGATTCTTGTACCGCTCGTCGGCCCTGAGGTCGTTGACCTCGATGAACGCGGAGAGGCTTTTCTCCCGGTTGGATGGCGGGAGCTCCAGGGTATCCTGTCGACGTGGGTGAGGTGTTGGACTTATTCCAGCACGACAGGTGTCATGTTGTGATTGGGAACGAAGAAAGAAGACATACCCTGCACATGATCCAGTCATCTAGGGAGAGTCTGGAGTTGCCATTCCACACCCCTTCGCCCAGGTCTTGCAAATCCACATCACCCTGGTTTGTCTGTGCGGCTTGGGCGATGATGAACTGCGAGTCCTGATCGGAGACGCTAAACAATAATCAACTCCAAAAAGATAAAGGAAAACGAAACAAGGAGGCGCGTAGAATCATTATGCCAGCGGCGGCCATCGTATATGGCCTGGCGAAGAAGAAAGGTACGCATCGCAGACATACCTAATGAGCACGCGCTCGACATCCAGGCGCAACGCGGCCAGTTGGGCGAAGGAGGTCAAAGTCTCGTTGTGGTGGCTCAGATGTGGCTCGAGCACCAAGGGGACCGTATATTCAGTGTCTACGGCGTGCAGGTGGGGAGACCCTGCGGGGGAGGGGGAGGCAACATAAGAATAACGCTGGGAGCTCACACCCCCATTGGGGGTACTCGGGGTACGTTGATCAGGGGGGAGTGGCGATGTCGGCTCAGCCTCTTCCTCGATTGGCGAGATGAGGCTCTGTGGGTGGAAGATACTGTACACTTCGCGGGCTCGACGGCCAGCGTCATGGTCCCGCGCAGGATCGGGGGTGGTCGTCGTCCCCTCTCCATCAGGGTGGCGAGTGCACCCACCGGCGGGGGATTTCTTAGGAGGAAGAGGAGGAGAGGTCATCGGAACATACAGGAAGATAGGAGCCACCTACGTTCGGTAGATGGAGGACACAAGGGTGGTAGACACACCAACGACGAAATGCTAATATGGCAGGGGTGAGATGAATGGATGAGTTGAGGCTATTTTTGGGGCGAAGGGGGAAACCCGGTTACCGCGGTGACATCATCTTGCCGACTTCGTCTTTGCCGGAAAACTCAATTCCGACCGCCCTGGCACGTGACCTTCCCAGCCCAGGACGGCTCGCTTAGCTAGACTGGATCTGGTTAGTGCCACTCACCCGCACTCCCACTGGACGGGAAACCTTCCCGCCGGGTCCGAATCTGAAACCAGGAACCATCTGGCCGGGTCGAGGCCCAGTCGGCCGATACACTCCCTCTCAGCTCAATCGGCGTAGCGGATATCCTCGTGGGACTGTAAATACATTCATTGTCGGTTTAGGCTATCATTGCTCGACTCCTTTCACAACACCCTGCTAACCGGCCGGTCGGAGATAACCAGGACGTTGCCCTTCACCCTGCACCGGCTAGAATTGCCGTCAAAACAAGCATCATGAAACCCCTGCGATTCGTGTCCATCAAGTATCATAAATCGCAGCCACATCAGGCTTAGTCCGGGGTTCCTGGCAGCCCCCGTATTCGTGTTCGCGGCCGTGGCGCTCATGGCGGGCAGATACGGGTTCCCCGTCTATCTATGGAAACTAAGCACACGACAGTCGAACCCTTCAGCTACTGTCATCAGCCACAGAACTATAACATTACTCCAGGCCATCTTGGTGACCTGTGCAAGTGTCATTCGGACCTAAGCTCGGTGGCATGCCTCCCGTTGAACCAATCGGGAGCTGCCGTGGGGTTTGCGCAGGTCGCGCAAGCTTAATCTTCCAATCCCGCATCCACGTCAAGAGGGATTTGGAAAGCCCAAGCGACAACAACAGCAACGGCATGTCTCCTATAACGTCGTTTGAGTTATTAGCACAATGCGCAGTCAGAAATAGATGTGTTCATAATGGCAACATGTACTGCATTTTTGGCGTGCAGGTGGATGGTTCCTTCTAATATATATTCACAGACATGCTGCCCACTTGGGGTGAACACAAAGTCATTAATCCGCCATGACTGTCTTTCCTTGCCCGCGAGGGAGTGATGACTCTTTCGGCCCCGTCGTGAGCGGCTATTGTCGAGAATTCGATTTCACGTTGCTCTTTGAGGATGTGGTTCTGGTTACTATCCCCTCGTTTGTCTTTCTAGCAATTCACATCATCCGCATCGCATGTCTTCTCTCGAAACCAGTCAAGGTTGTCAAGCAGCGGCAAACAATCTCTCTGATGGTAGGTTCTCAGACCTGTTTCAAGTGGAATGCCGTTTCAATGCTAAGGTGGGCCACAGGCCCTGCATGCTGTACTCTTAGGGACTCATTTGGCGATGCTCCGGATCCGACAAGATACCCCGACCCTGCAGACGCGCGTATGGCTCGTTGCGCAGATCTTGCAGGCCCTCGACACTTGTGTGGCGATTGTAGTTACATACTTTGAGCGCGCTCACTCGCCGCGGCCCCCAATATGGCCCAGTCTCCACTTGTTCGTGGCGGTGCTGTTGGACAGTGTCCGTGCCCGGACGTTCTGGCTTGCTTCGAACACAAACCTTGCGGCCATCATAATCAGTGTGACGTTGGGTCTACGCGTATTGCTTTTCATAGTTGAGTCGACACTACCAACCAACTCACAACCATCGCAGGATCAAGATTCCACAAAGGAGGAAAGTAGCAGTCTGTGGGAGCTGTGCTTACTGACATGGGTGCTCCCGACCCTGAAAAAAGGTTTCTTCTCGCCTTTGACCTTGGAGCAGGTTCCGCCCATCGGGCATAGCCTCACGGCCGAAAGGCTGATGAGGCGGCTGCAGCGACGCTGGAATCAGGGTAAGGGATCAGACTGTGCTAGGCTTGAGCCGGTTTTGCCTTATTTAGGTACCATGGCTGACTCTCCACTCCTCCCTCCCACAGTGTACCAATCACGCAGGAACCAGCTCTTTTTCACAGTATTTCGGACGTTTAAAACCGAATTCCTGCATGGAGTCATTCCTCGATTGTGCTTCTCGGCATTCACTCTGATGCAACCGCTTCTGGTCAACGCCATGATCAAGTTTGTGGGATCTCCTGATAACCAGATGACGCGAAACAAGGGGTATGGCTTGATTGGAGCATCGGCAATAGTCTATCTTGGGCTTGCAGTAAGTGCTATTTCTGCAACGGCCGCCTGTGGCGCTCTGTATTTCTACCGCCGGCGAACAAAGCCCCTCAAGTACAAAATTAATAAAAATTCCAGGCATCCAAGGCCCTTTACAATCGACAGGCGTATCGCTTCGTGATTGGCGTACGGGGGGCCTTACTTGCTACAGTCTACAGTCAAACCCTTGAGCTCGGGGCTGCAGATCAAGGGGGTACGTCTGCACTCACCTTGCTGGGAACGGACGTGGAGCGAATCGCCACGGGCCTCCGGGACGTGCACGAGATATGGGCCTCGCCGATCGACATAGGACTAGCTGTTTGGCTGCTGGGAAGACAGCTTGCCGTTTCCTGCATCGTCCCTGTGGTTCTATCTCTTTGTAGGTTCCATTTTACACTTGCCGTGACACAGACTGACCCGTTTCCCGCAAAGTGTGTATCCTTGTTATTGCAAAGGTGTGCAAGTTGAAGAATCAAGCTCAGCGCGAGTGGATCGAGAGAGTGGAATGCCGGATTGATGTCACTCGACGAATGCTCAATGATATCAGATCCATCAAACTACTTGGCCTTGGGGGGCATATTGAGACTATCATATCCCGTTGTCGGTCGATCGAGATTGCCACCTCCCGTAAATTCCGATCCCTGCTGTGCTGGGAGGTCTTCATTGGTGAGTGGAATGACTTGACCTTCTTTGGTACAGGGTTTATGCAACCAATTCTGACAACGTCTATAGCCAATTTCTCATGGCTGGTTTCTCCCGCTGCCTCGTTTGCCTTGTTCACCATTGTCTCAACCGCAAACAAAAGCAGCTCACTCGATCCCGCGCAGGCGTTCACCGCACTGTCTCTCATGAGCCTGATTACACTGCCGGTTCTTACGCTGATCCAGGCACTACCTGCTCTGTTCCAGTGCTTGGGCTCATTTACCAGATTGCAGGAATATATTGCCCACCAACACGTGCAACCTCATCAGCTCGACTCCAAACTCGTGTCGTCAAGTACATCGCTGCTAGGCCGCTTGGGCTCCGAGGTCCCATCTGCAGGCACAGAGAAGGGCCCTCTAATCGCCCTGCGGAATGCCACAGTTAAGTGGAACGCATCCGGACCTGAGGTACTTCACGAGGTTGATCTCGATGTGCACAAAGGTGATATGATTGCGATCATGGGCCCGGTCAGCGCCGGCAAGACCACGCTTCTGGAAAGCGTTTTGGGCGAAACTGTCGTTGACTACGGATACATCCATACGCCCCGTGTGCCGACGGCCTATTGCAGCCAGGTACCCTGGCTGGTTGAGGGGTCCGTCCGTGACAACATCATTGGCCCCATGGGAATGCAGCCCGCCTGGTACCACCAGGTGCTCTGGATGTGCGGGGTGAGCGAGGATATACAAGTCCTGCCGGACGGGGACTTGACCCGTGTCGGTGGACAAGGAAATGCCCTCAGTGGAGGGCAGAAGCAACGTGTCGTGAGTTTTGCGTGCTACCGTGTTTGTGTCTCTGTCGCTTATCTGTTGGTCCCTTTCATAGGCTCTTGCTCGTGCGGTCTATTCGCGCTGCGAACTTATCGTTCTGGATGATATCTTCAGTGGCCTCGATGCCTTCACAATTGATAGAATCTGCCACCGCTTGATAAGCGCTGACAAAGGATACTTTCGTCGCAAGGGGATCACGGTGCTACTATCGACGCACAATTGTGAGTGCCCTCTTGCGCTTCATCCGGAGACTACGCTGATGTGTTATTGGTTGAAATTGAACAGCCAAGGTTGCAGCACTCGCAGACGAGGTATTCATCCTTGAAAATGGCAGAGTGGCGCAGCGTATTCTGTCTTCACCTTCAATGCAATCACCAGAAGCTCAAGCCCTCTCGATGGAGGCTGATGAAGACGCCTCCAAGAAATTGCCGATAGCATCTGAACGCTGCGTAAAACCTGAGGAGGACGAATTGTCTTCCGACGACAATAGTCGCGCTCATGACTCAACACAGACTTCCCATGCTGAAGGAGCTGGCTATTCCTACTACCTCAAATCTGCCGGTCGAACGCTTGCATTGCTTTACGTCATTCTCATCGTCATCGCCGCGTTCTGTCAAGACTTTCCCAGTAAGCGCGCCTACTCTTCGTTCTTGGGTAGCATTAATAGACCGCCGCAACTGACTCCGTGTTATTGCTTGCAATTAGATCTCTGGGTGAAGTGGTGGTCGAATGCAGATTCGAAAGGCTCAAGCCAACTGTCTGGAATGTATCTGGGCGTTTTTATTGCCTTCGCAGTCGGCACAGTTGTGGTGGGTGCAGCAGGTTCTTGGTGAGTACTTGACTACTCTTCTTAGGATCTGCCTGTCGCCACTCTAATCCGTGGACTAATGCCCAACAGGGTCTACCTGATACATATGATCACCAATAGTGCAGAACGTCTGCACGCGGACCTTCTGGGTAGCATAATGAGGTATGCAGTTGATAGCTCACTTGCATCATAAGCAGACCTAACACGTTCAGTGCTCCTCTTTCCTGGCTAAATGATACCACTTCAGGTGATATCTTAAATCGGTAAGGTGACGCTCATTTGGCCATAGCTCAAGCACGGTAACTCATCCCTATCCCGCACAAAATAGATTCAGTCAGGACCTAGAACTGGTGGATATGACATTACCACTGGCAGCTGTCAACGCAACCAAGGGTGAGTGCGACGTCTGAGCCGAATTGAACAAATATCTCCCTGCTGACTAGCTGCTCGCACCCAGCCATCGGGTCCTGTCTCCTAAAATTAGCAATCCTCTTTGTGGTAGCCAGGTATATGTCCCTGGCGGTCCCACCCCTCTTGCTAGTCTGCTTCCTCCTGCAGAAATGCTACCTGCGCAGCTCGCGCCAGATCCGCCTGCTCAGCATCGAGGCTAAGGCCCCTCTGTTCCAGCACCTCTCCGAATCCCTCAGCGGTGGTGCGAGCATCCGGGCGTTCCAATGGCAGACCTACCTCGAGGAAGCCAATCTTTTGATGGTGGACAATTCGCAGAAATGCACGTACACGCTGTTTATGGTCCAACAATGGCTGACCCTCGCCATGGACCTAATTGCCAGCGGGCTCATCCTTCTGCTAACCATGTTGACGGTTCTGATGCGAGACTCCTTCGACCCGGGGTCATCTGGTACCGCCGTCGTGACCCTCATGAGCTTCACGCAGTCTTTGGCTCGGCTGCTCAAATTCTGGTCGATGACTGAGTCCTGCCTCGGAGCCGTCTCACGGATCCAGTCATTCGCCGCCCACACCCCCTCCGAATCCAGCGGCAAGGCCGCCCTTCCACAGCAGACAGCCTGGCCCAGCCGTGGTGCCATCGAGATGCAGAACGTGAGTGCTGCATACAAGTACGTTCCACTCCCCACGCCTTTTCTCCTTGTACCCAACACAGAAGATAGGGCTGACCTCAATAACTCACCCTCAAGATCTAACCCCGTCCTCAACGGCGTAAGCATGCGCATCGAACCCGGCCAGAAAATAGCACTCTGCGGCCGCTCGGGCAGCGGCAAATCCTCCTTATTGCTGTGTCTGACTGGACTGCTCCGACCCCACTGCCCAACCGGCACAATCCAGATTGACGGCCTCGATATCACCTCCGTCGCTTCACAAGACCTCTGCGCTCGCCTGAGTGTCGTCCCCCAAGAACCGTGCTACCTCCCAGGCACCATCCGCTTCAACATTGACCCGACTTACACCCTCTCCGACACCGCTCTGGCCCGCATCCTTGACGCAACACATCTTACTGATCTCGTGGCACGACTCGGTGGCGTGGACGCCCAACTCGATCCGACGCGGTGGTCCGCGGGACAAGGGCAGCTGCTCGCGCTGGCGCGCGCAGTCGCCCGACAAAGCAAGGTTTTGGTCCTGGACGAGGCGATGAGTCGGTATGTTGTTCTTGCTTCCTTGGCATTTGCTGTTGGCTCCGCAGGGGTGGGGGCTTTGAAGAAGGGTAGGGCTAACGCATAACCTCCATGCCGGGTATTGCAGGGTTGATCATGCAACACAAGCCCTGATGGATAGGGTCGTTTCGGAGGAGTTTGGAGATTGCACGGTCGTGTCGATCGTCCACCGGTATGACAATCTCGCGTGGTTCGACAAGGTGGCGGTGATGGAGGAAGGGCGCCTCGTCGAGTTTGATCGGCCGGCCGCTCTGCTGGCGCGGGAGGAGTCGCGGTTTCGGGCGCTGTATGCGTCAAGTGGGTGCTTGTAATGTGGGTATCATCATCCTTTTACCTAGTTGTCGTCTCTGTGACCAAGATTGTGGGAAAATAATGTACATGTAAATAGTCATGCGGCGGTTCAACAATAAGAGTACCATGCGGTTAATCCTGCTGCAATGGGAGAACGTTGAGGAAACTCTTCCCATCATTTAGCATAAATATGGATCCCACTCTCGATTGAGGGTATTTCCAGCAAGGACTTGCTTTATTCCTGTACTGGGGAGCAGATTGGGGCATAAATTACCTGGAGTGACTCCTTGTTATCATGGTCACTTAATGGTGACTTGCCGGATCTTTGTTTATCTCTCCCCGCATTTCACTATAAACCTGGGTACTACTGTAATGTACAGCAGACTGCGTATGATACAATGTAATACTGAAACCTTTCGTATTTGTGAAACAAAGAGCTACGCACCCAATGATAACGGTCACGGCAGAGGCGGAAATCAGGCGCCCCCCTAAGGTGGCTACCCCTTGTATACTATCCTTCCATACTTTCCAAATTACTGACAGAACCGTCTTGTCTACTGAGCGAAGTTAGTAATTTATACTAGGTAAGTGTACTTCATTACCCTTTACAGGGAGGAGTAAACATATTGACTTAGTTGATCCCTGTAAGAAAGATGGAGATGAGCGATACGGGCGATTGTACGGACCACTAACGCAGTACAGCATCAAATGAAGCTGAAGCTTGTGTACAATTTTTTGTCTTACTGATACATTGATAGATCTGGATCACGTTGGAAGGGGGAAGGGCCTTCTATGCTATTAGACGGTATCTTTGGCAATCCATGTCTCCTGCTCACTTCCCAGACACAGGCTTCTAAAACTCTATATTGGCCAGCTTTCATCGGACCAAATAGACACATGGCGGATCTGGTCTGGTCTGGTCTTTTTTTTTTTCTCTTTTTCTTCTCTTTTTTTTCTTTATTCTTTTTCCCCTTTTGTCTGCGTGTTTCCACTTGCCTGTTGTTGTTGTTGTTCTTGTTCTTTGACAGACAGGGATCTTGGCTAATCGGGTTGGTTCTTTCTCTCCCTTGTCACACAAGATGTACGACCCCGTGAATTGATAGGTTGAAGGTGACAAAGACCAATCTCCCGGCAATTAGGAGGCTATTTTGCATTTTGACTAAGTATTGCGTGGCCAGGTAGTCAGCAAAGTGATAAAGCCGACTCCCAGAGCCTCCAAACCTGAGTTTCTTTCTCTGTTTCCCTCCTGCCCCTCTTGTGTTGGTCCTGCAACTACCTCACGTAGTCCTCATCACCCGAATCTGGCCCAAACATCTCAGTCCCGTCGACAACCCATCTACATCAGCAGGATGGTTGGAGAAAATGATCCCGCAGAACATCAACGCAAGCGTCCCAAACTTTCCAAAGACGAGTCAGGAGAGCGGGATGGGAACAGTAGGTCATGCTGTCTTCGGGAGACCTTTGGAAAGAAAAAAAAAGAATTAACCACTTTGGAGACCCCTAGGTTTGACACCCTCCCCCATTTCTCGAGGCCCACATTTCACCCCCAACGAAAGACCGACAGAGCAGGATGACCCTTCCGTTGACTCGCCCCGACCACCGAATGGCAACGATGACAGTGGCCCGGTCGACACGAAAGACCACGAGACCGAGACCGAAGCATGCAGTTCCCCGGACGTTCCCTACAAAGTTATCCGATCGGCCGGACTGGCCTACCCCGATGGTTGCTGTGAGCTTCTCATTTGCTTTGCGGCCAAGGATACCCAGTTCCAGGTGCGCATGGAGTACAAGAAGCTTCCGCCCGACTACAAGCTCACCGATGGGGCAACCCTCATCGAAAGGTGTGTCTTTCTGCATGACAAGCACCGCTGGCAAGAGCTGGTGGATACTTTGATGCCGTTCCTACAGCCCATTTTCAAGGAGCACAACCCACCGCGCACCCTCGACTTGGACGCCCATCTGCGCAGCTCGCAGGTAAACCTGCGCCTCGAGATCCACGACCACCCGGAGCTTTTCGTCGGCTTCCTGGATGTGCCACTTGTGCCAGCTGTCTTCAAAGAAATGGTCGACGTTCCCCGATTCGAGCTGTCGCAGGTGGAGTCCTTCCGAACTATTCAGGTTAATAAGGTCTTCGAGGTGAGAATTCAGGGCAAGGCCTTCCTCTACAAGACCACGACAGTTGGAACCGGGATCCTGGAAGCCGAAGCTCTCCGGCTGCGAGAGATTGCGGCGCGATGTCCGGCTTCGCTTCGCGTGCCCCGGCTAGAAGGCTTTCTCGGCCTCGGGTCGCCATTTCCGGGGATCCTACTGACGTTCATTCCTTCGACTACACTGGGCAGCATGATCAACATTGAGACAGAGGTTGCCCTGGCTGAACGACGCAAGTGGTCCGACCAGCTTCACGAGGCGGTTTACTCCCTCCACCAGGGAGGGTGTATCTGGGGCGACGTGAAACCCGATAACGTGCTGATCGATCACAACCGGGATGTATGGCTGGTGGATTTCGAAAACGGCCTCACTCCAGGCTGGGTTCCCTTAGAGCTTGTGGGTACGAAGGCCGGAGACCTGGAGGGGTTGAGCAATGTACGAAAGTTGTTTCTGCAGTTGCCGAATTCTGCAGAAGAGGTGGCTACTTAGCCCTATCTCATTCGAATCCTTTTTCGGGATGTCCATCGTCTTGTATTCATTACCGGAAGATCAGTAGTAAACTTGCCATTCCCTGAGTTCCTGTCTTAGTCCTTACCATGTAAAGCCTGTAGCTATCGGCTTCTATATGTTCCTTGTGGAGGTGTAAGCTCCCTGAGTGAGCATCACGATGGGAAGTTCACAGATACACCAACGACCATCAGTCCTGTACGAGTCGGGTCGGAGCTGCATGCTTAATTACGCTTCAAATATAGAGACCCGCATACACCTGCGGCGGGGGTATTACAACGAATGTGTTGAAATCTGATCTGTAAGGTTTGAGTTGACCTAATCCGCGAGGCGTCTTTCCTCGGTGCCGTAGACAAGGTTTTGATCAGGCCTGCTCTCCGAGGTCTTACTTGACTCAATATTGCTCCGTTGGCGTGAGACATGATCAAGTACGATATTACCCCTTCGGGCTGGCGAGGCCAATTCTTAGAAGATAAATTTGACGCAGTGAGTCAAAGAACTGTTTGACAGATCCCAATACCTCGACTCCAACCACATGATCTCGCTTTTGTCTTTCCTTGTTTTCCCAGACAATTTCATCTGCAGTTTCTGTTTCCAAGTATTTTTCTCTTTTCACCTCATTTATTTTATTTTTTTTTTGTTTTTCTTTTTTTCCCCCCGTTTTTTACTCCTGTCGCCCCTATTAGGATTTTCATCACCCAATCAGTGAAGCTGTTGTGGGTCGATTTGATCAGTCACAGCGTTCGCTATACTATTGTTCTTCTGAGGCTTGTAAAGTGTATTCGAGCCCGATCCCTATTCCTCCTATTTATAAGATCAGCATGATGTCTGCTTAGGCACTCAGAAAAGGTGTTCCGTTCTCTACATCCACTGCCCGCGACGTTCTGTTGTCACCAGAGTTCATCCACCGTCTCTGCCTTCTCAGTCTATCTAATACCGGATTCCTCCTCCTCCATTGTCCTCAGCCATGGCGCCTGCATGGAGACTTGAAATCAAGCCCGATGGCGCCGTCATCCTCACGCAACTGTCGCCCAGCGAGTCGACCGCGAGCCCTCAATGGCGTTGCCATATGTGCAAACAAGGGCCCAACAGTGAAAGAACTTGCACCCAAAAAGTCCTTTGACAAAACGCCGAAGCTGTGTGTGGCCATACGCAGTGCTCCAAATGCAAGATTTGGTGAGAGGCTCAGATCCTTGCGGTATGTGAACAACCACAAAAAGGCTATTAGTGGAGAGAAGTTCGAAAGATCTCTGACCGGGCAATAGGCCACGCAACAATCGCCCCGAACGATCAAAGGAATGATGGAGAGCATTTTATGGTGGTGGAATCGATGGAGAGGGTGGTTGCTGGACTTGATCACATTCATTTGGAGGTAGTATGCTGGTATTCTGTTTCGCAAAGGGTTTGGAAAAGAAGATTATGGGATTCTGGCTCTGTTCTCTTGACTTTCACTCCATCGCATCTCCTGTGAAAGTAGCAGACCTAGCGAGTCGTACAATGATGATCCCGTTGCTCAGATCTATCAAACCCACCGGATCAACCCCCCTCGCCCATAGAACCGAGGTAGCCCCCACGACGTCCACAACCGGTTGCTCCTTTTCGAGATATAGTCCCTGGTGGAGATTCACAGTTCTTCGGGCGCATTTTCCCTAATCATTTGCACGGATAGTAATTATATTCGTTTGTTGCGTCCCATTCCCTTGGTTGCTTCGGTGTCCAGTCTTGTCCAGTCTTCGTAGATAGATCACAGGCAACCATGACTAAATTACTGCCGACCAGTACTGCATATACCGTCCCTGGTCGCATACAGAACATGCTCTCAATCGTGTCACAGTGCTTGCACCTTGAAAGGCTACGGAATGAGCGAGGTGATTGGTGCTTGGGGTGACTCCCAGAATCAACTTCCTTTACATACAAAGCGCATGGCATCCCGTGACCATCTCTCTAAAAACCGTCAGAGCTTGCCTAAATGCTGCTGTTCACAGGTTCATTTGTCGGTTTGGTCTAGATAACTCCTTTTCGCAATCATTTTATCTGCCGGTGGTCGGTCGGCCAGGTCAAGTACAATCGTATGAGTCTTTCCATTGTACGGGAAGGGAGCGTAAATCTTATCCCGTCATGCTTCTGTTCGTAGCCACACTGTTCACCTTCTTGGCACTGACGACTGGGGATAACAGACAATGATTCCGCGAGACATCCACAGGTTCCCTCACATGACGAGAGATAGATCTTTCATTGATAGCCCGAGACCAAGACACGTGTCGGAAATGGCTCAGTCGTCGTAGGAAACCTATGTTTGATCTGTGTCGCAACCGACCGATGCGATCCATAGTCCCAGAAACTGTCAACAACGCGTGCAAAATTGAAAAGCACCATTTCGGCGTTTGAAGCAATAAATCACCAGCAACAGAGATTTCAAGCCCCCCGCGTGCTGACACTAATCTGTCTTTGCCAGCTTCAGTCTTCACAATCAAAACAGGTGTTAGGCATGACAGCCCAAAGGATGTAGGTCTCACACAAAACAGCCCTGATTTCAACGTTAGCGTTCGCCTTCAGTTTGTGGTAGAAAGCCACTGGCTGTTGTTCTTTTCCAAGATTTGCGTGCATCGAGATAAACATGTGCGCCCATGGAAAAATGAAAATGGCACGGGGGCCGCTCTGTCATGTCAGGAACGAGTCTTTCCCACTATGTGAGACAGGTAGTCTCACGACACGAGATGTCCGACACCGGCCTATCTCGTATTCATTCGGGATACCTAGCAAGCGAAGACAAGACAGTTGGGAGCGTCGGGCTCACCCTTCGACCACCAGCCTCCCCCCCAGAAAAGAAGCAACAGTACACTGGCAGCTGTGTTGAAAGATCTGTTTGATACGGGCGTGAGCTGGATACACTGGACAATCGCGTGTGTTGAGCGCTAGCTTGCTCTAGCGACATGCTCAATATACCGATTTACCACAAGAATGCTTTACTTTTATTGTACGACTTCTCGTTCCCTGTCAGCCGTCACTGCGTATCTACCGCATTCCAGTGCGTCTGTTTTAATCCTCCCTTGCGGTCCCGGAGTGAGGCTGGGTGGCTGAGACAACCAGTTTCCTGCTACGACTGAAGGGACGAACCACCGGGTTGGAACGAGATCAAGGGCTGGATTCGTTGCGGTCGCAATCGGAAACTTGCATAAACACGACACCCCTGATTCTGACCTCTCCCTCTCTTGCGCCAGTCCCCATTACGCCAGACAGAGATATTTGCTTCGAGCCCAGATAGCTGAGTACCGGCCTTCCACTATCTCGAGTCTAGAGTCGGGTTCTCTCATGATGCTCAGATCCGAGGTCAGGCGTGGTCTAGCCCGCAACCAAGAATGGCAATGCCATTGCAGTTGAAAGAAAGTCGTGTTGCGACCAGTATCATGTCGATCAGTCTGTGTTTCCTATGGACAGTGGGAGTAGATTGTATTGTTTTGTGCATAACTGCTATTGACACCGGCTGTAATTCTAATTGTACCGGAACTAAGCCCTACACAATAGGAGGTAGGATTTATATACTCTCTATGCTGTGTATAATTACCGACGATATATACCAGTATTAATCTATCCTAATAATTCTAATAGAAACAATAAAAGAAAGACGTTTTGAAGAACTGTAATAGCAATATCTTCGGCCTTTAAGTGTACTAAGAATCCATAATGTAATCCCTAATATGAGAGGATCCGTACTGTAAAGAGTCGGTATTTTAGAATACAATGCCGGCAGCAAGAGCAATGCAATGGGTTTTGATAATAGTTATCTCTTTTGTAAACAATTGTCGCGAAAAGCGGTATCTGACGGAGAGTCGCATTGCCTGGTGTGGGTACCCTTTGTATGAGGTGTGTATCATGAAGGCCTCGTCTGGTTTACTCATGCTACAGTAATGAGCAACGTTTAGACTGATAGTCAACTTCCTTGATTATCTAGCACAAACATCAACTGCTTTGGACCCTGACTGTTGTGTAAAGCTAGCGCGCCTGTTCCATATAACCTGGAATGTTTCGCATCCCACATCCCACATCCCACGGGGAAAAGCCCTCCATCTCGAAAGACAAACGCGGCGTAAACGCTTTTGTGGATTTGGAACTATGAGTGTTGCAATGTGTCTTCAAATAGCATAAACACCATCGGTGTCTATATGGATGTCCTGCGTTGATACCAGCTGTTATTATCTTCTGTCCGTGGCCACCACGATGCTGTGTGCTATTCGGTGTATCTATGTTTGGGTTTATACCTTTGTTCTCTCTCTCTCTGCTACCTAGTGGGATGTTGTACTGTACATTGTTGCATGCTATCGGGGTAGCGTGGAAAGGATTGCTGCTAGCATATTTCTGGATTGAATGGTTTATCTCGAACAATTTCCAATTCCCAACTTCAGCATTGGATAATAAGGACTGCATGTCAGGAGATAGACAAACACCTTCCGAGCTTAAATACACATAAGGCAACCATGATGCAAAGGCTGCTAAAGTCCATCGCCTTCTCTGATTGCTTGAAGGCAGCTAACCGCGCCTCGGCCATGGCACCTGTGTAGAATAGGTTGTTCTTCCCAACAGGCCTGGAATCCATCATCTTCACGCTCCCCAACTCAAGTCACAAGCAGCCGTTGTTCAAAACAGCATGGCGCACAAATCGGGCTGTATGGTAGGGAGAGAACATAAAAGGGAGGAACTGAGAACAAATTCAGCGAAGAGTAAGATTTCAAAAGTTGGCATTGTTTCAACTAGGTACAGATACTAATCATTATCTAGAATGACACCCACCGACGAGCTCAGCGAATGCGCATATCGGCACGGAGGCGTCTAATCAAATTCGTCGGGGTCTTCCTCACCGAGCAACTGTAGCAAAAAGTTCCGAGTGGCCTCCTCGATGACCTGCTCTAGCTCCATGCAGTCTGGAGGACTGTCCAGGGCTGGCTCTGGAGCATCTCCGAGACACTCCAATAGGAAGTCCTCTCTGGTATCCTCCAAGATGGGTGACAGAGATCCAAGCGAGATGTCGTCTTCAGCGCATACAGGAACGCCTTCGAGAGTCTCCAGCGCGTGGCTCGGCAGGGAAAATTCTATCCGACGTTTCATGCCTTCGGGCAACCTGAATTCATCGGCCTCTTGAAGCGCGCCTCCGGGAGTGTGCAGCCAATGTGGCCCCGTCCGCGTCTCCGCTAGGTTCATGTCCTCGAGCGCAGGGCAGTTAAACTCACCCACCTTTGGAGCCTGACCAGATCCCTGCATCAGAGGCTCAAACGAGAGACTCTCGGCCGGGCCCTTCGAAGCCAGGCTCGCCTTCCACTCCGCCAACCACTCCGTGAACAACTGCGCATCGTCGACGCGGAGTCCCTGAGCCTCCCGCTGTGGGTCCAGGAACAGCCTAAATAGTTGTCCATACTCTTCCTTCTTGAAGTGCTGCGGGTCGTCGCACACGAGGTCCAAATCGCACCATGGCTCCACGCAATAGGACCGGAATCCATACACGAACACATCATTTAAGGCTATGACCCCGCCATACGTAGGGATGGGCAGTAAGGTTGCCGGCCACCCCTTCAACAGGAACTTGGAGCGGGCGCTTATCACAGCATCCGCGACGCCGCTGCCCGGCTCCGGCGCTCCAGCGCTGCTCTCATCCCTACACTCCAGCACCATGCTGAAGATTTCGCCCTGGTACTCGGAATAATAGACGGCCAGTCGGTCGTAGGCTATAACGTTGTCGGCGTCGTTGTCGTCGCTCTCGTGGTGTTTCGAGCCACGGTACTCGTGAATCGTCGCGTTGAGTGTGTAGCCCTCGCTCGCTGGGAAGATCTCGCGTAGCGTCTCGATCCAGCGTCCGCTGATGGCATTCTTGCTATCTGATTTCATTACTTCTTCGTGTTGAAGATCTAGTGTTGGTTCTGAAGACCAAGTGTTGCACTGTAGTGTTGGGAGGACGTTGTGACGCATGGCTTGAAACGGTGGGTGTGAGGTCCTTGGGCAACACAAGCGGGTTTATGTATCGTTTGGGTACTGAGTGCTGAACAAGGAGCTTGCTGGAGCATATCCTGAAGAACGGCATCATGCCTGCGCTCCTTCATCTATTTCGCGCAGATCGCCGCAATAAAGCTTTCAAGACAATGTGTTCATTGTTCGACAAGACTTGAATGCAAAGTGGTATTACAGACAGACAGGCTCCTCATCATGGCCGTGGTCTAATATATTCTTCCCCATGCATTATCTCGGAGAACTTTGATGCATTCACCAGTAAGCAGATAACCTTGCAGCGATTTTCAAAGATCATCAATTATTCAGTACAAAAGATCTGTGACGCAGACCATTTTTTATTCAATGTCAGGTCCTCACGACGCACGAAACGATTTATCCTGCGCCCCTCAGGAAACTTGGATGCTGGATCTGTTCCTCGGAAGCAAATCTATGGTTGATGAACGGTGAATTTTAACGTGAGTGGCAACTATATAGCATGAAATGATCAATCCGTCCAGCCAAACCATTGCGTTCGGGAGTAGGCAAAAGGTAGATTGGAGTTGATATTCTGCTATCGGACTTGGAACACAGCACCAGCCGCAAATTGAACACTTACCGTTGAAGTCTATTTCACACCATTCACTACACTACACCGGCTGATTGTTCCGATCACAGCCCTTGGCACTGAATGTAGGTCAAAGTACCCTTGGGGGCGGTGATGTCGCCTACTATTTTAGAATAACTGACCGAAGTTAGTGTGTACAGCAAATAGTGGAATACCAGATCGCAGGTTCAATTTAGGGCTGTAGCGACAATGCCCACTACTGGCAAATCCCGGGCGGGGTGTGGGAATCGCTCGGGCAGTATCTGGAACAGTCCTGTCGCAAATTGTTCATCGCCTGCCATTGTGTTCGATTTCGTTGAATTTCTCTCAAACTGAAAAGCCTCCCCAAGGATCATATCTCCGTTAGAGTATTCGCTGAAAGCTAGTGGTCCGGCTCTAGTTGTTTAACAACCAGCTTCTCCAGCTATAAACAGGGTCAGCTGTTGGCCTTTGGTAAAGCAGCTTCAGTATAAGAAGATTATGCCGATGTAGAAAGAATTCTACGGACGTAGAACGACTAAATAAGTCTACAAGGGGCAGAGGGCCCTAGCCGCAGCAATGAAGATTGAAAATAGGAGGTATGCAAACCGTAAGACTCCACTGTCTTCCCTGAAACCTCTCTTCCCAGTTTCCCGCACTAACAATCATCTTACACGTCGTCAAGCGCATAGAAGAAAGAAGATGATCATCTGCACGGGAAACGCGGAGGTGTCGGACACCGAGCGTCCGACCCGAATGCCGAGTGGCCCGTTTCCTCCCTACAAATAGTCACAGTTAGTCCTCCTCTCACTCTTCACCCAAATCCCACTGAGGACGTTCCCCAGTTCTTTTCTCTTCCTACCGGCGATCGTCCCGTGCAACTCATCAAAACATGGCTCACTACATCACCACCCACGACTCCAACGGAGCTGCCATTTTCTCCCACGGTTCGGACGAGCAACATACGATACCCATCCCGATTGGGGAAATCAAAATCCTTTCCTCCAGTCACTCGTTCCCGCTCGATCTTTCGAGTGAGGCCGATATCGAGCAATATCAGGAAGACCGCACCACGACGTTCTTTCCCGGTAGCCGTCGGATTTGCCCTGAGGGCGGGACCGCCACCTGCATGATCACGATGGAACCCGGGGCTGAGAGCCCCATGCACCGGACGCTGACGTCGGACACGGTGGTCCTCCTCGAAGGCGAGATGGAGATCACGTTGGACTCCGGGGAGACGCGGATCTTGAAAGCGGGCGATGTGCTGGTGCAGAGAGCTACCATGCACCGATGGAGGAACATCACTCCCAACAATGGTTGTGCCAAATGGGTGGCGTTCATCCAGGCTAGTGCGGGGCCAATGAATATCGGAGATCAATCTCTCGGTAACGAATGGAAGCATTAATGCTGTGTTGGGCTGACGAAGATGGAGCGGGTTGGACCTGGGGATTGATCTTAGCATGTGTGTAAACAGGTATGATTCAATATATACGTTATCAACGAGGGTTATGATGGCAGTCGTCTGCAATAGTCTTCAGTGGTTTTGACTCTGGATGGTAACAGTCTTATTCCGTAGTTCGTTGACAATGGATGTGAGAGATCACTCCATGCGTAGCCTTACCAGGATCAAGCCATCCCCGTAACCCTTATCGACCCTGTGGATGGCTGCGTTGCGTGGTTCCCTCCCAGAAGGGTAGTTTGAAGCTATTCCAAGGGGTCATGCGGTGGAGACTCCCGGGATTTGCGCCGCCGGGATTTGTGGCCACTTGTAGCTCCACTCATGACTCACCATGGCTGTATCTCAAACGGTACCGTCGAAACAAGAAGCATCGTCGATTTCCTATAGCAGTATCTTTGGCCTGTAGCGTGCATTATCTGACTCACCCCCCCCACGTCCGTAAGATATATAAGCTGTGGGGTCGAACGCGAATTAGCCATCATGTCAAATTCAAGTCCAATTACCAGTCTCCTTTCCGATCAGCCGAAACCTACACAGACTACCTATCACCATCTCCAATCAATATCTTGCACCGGCAACCATCGAAATGGCCTCCCCGGATTTCACCTACACCTTCTTCCGCATCCCCAAGGACGAGGCCACGATCCGCGCATCAGCCGCGCAGTATCGCGCCCTCCGCCTGGAAGCCCTCCAAGTGTCGCCCGGCTCCTTCTCCTCCACCCATGCCATCGAGTCCGCCTTCACCGACGACGACTGGATAGCCCGCCTCACCGTCCCGGACCGCGAAGTGTTCATCTGCGCGGCCACCCCAGCCTCCACGACCCCCAGTCCCAGCGGCCCTGAGAATGCCAGCAGCGGAACGCAATGGATCGCCCAGGTCACCCTGCGCGGCCCCACCCCAGCCGACCAGTTCGCCCTACCCGCCGCCGCAAACTCACCCGCACAGCGCCCGGACAGCGAGGAAGAGCGCTGGCAGATGCTGAGTCTATTCACCCTCCCTGCCCACCGAGGCCGCGGGCTGGGCGCACAGCTATGTCAGGCGGCCCTGAACTGGCTGCGGGAGTACCGAGCGAAGCCCAACACGGTGCAGGTGCGGCTGATCGTCAAGGCGGGGAACGATGTGACGGTCAACCTGTATCGAAGGCTGGGGTTCGAGGACGCAGGGCGGGCGACCTTGGTCGAAGCGCTGGTCGCGAATGGGGATGACGAGATGGTGGAGGTAGTGCGGAAGACTCACGGAGCGGTGGTCGATGAGCAGCGACAAGGGTTGGTGATGGTCGTGAGGTTGCGGCGCGACTAGGGCGGGCAGACTATCCTTGAATCAAACGTTGAGGCAGCAGCAATATACCTAACCATGCTGTTTCATGCATAGCGTTGTGTAGCATTTTATACGGCAAGAAGCCCTACAGCTGGAAGGGCGGCGACTCCATGATGCGGAAAAAGCAGATGTTGAGATTATACCTGTACATATCGACAAGACACACAGGGTGACTGACCCCGGGCACGCAACGGGTAAAGTGCACTGATTAATGGAGATCTTGATTGAATATTCATACGTTTCCCCCCTCCAGCAAACCCAAGCACAACAAGAATTATTCCGGCCACAAGATGTTCTGGGGACCGGAAACAATGCAGGTTATTTATGGGCTTCGCTGAGCTGGGGAATGAGAACAAAAATAACAGTCGTGAGTGATGGCTGTCCGAAGGAAACATCGACAATCAGGCTCTCTCAGTCTGCAGCAACACAGCCAAACCCTTTACCCCCGCTCCGCCTTCTCAAGCCGGAGAAGAGACCGCGCCGCATCAACAATTGTCTCCTCCAGCGAGTGATACTCCAACCCTAAGATCCTCCGGGACTTGGACGTATCGACCGTGTACACGTCCGAGGGGACCTCGCCGGTCCCAGGCCTCCCAACCGGCACGCGGTCACGAATCTCGGGAATTCCCGCGCGCAGCGCATCGAGGAACTGCTGGTAGGTGAAGTTGCCGGTGCAGATGAAGAAGCGCTCATTGCCGGCAGCGGGCACCTCGTATGCGCGCAGATGGGCGTGCGCCACGTCGCGCACGTCCGCGAACGACCAGAACAGATTCTCGGGCACAGGATCGCTGGCCCGGGATGCCGGGGCCATCAGCCGGTAGAGGTCCATGGAGCTGGTGTTTAGCCGGGTGAGATCGGCGGTGGCGTTGATATTGGGCCCGTAAATCAGCGGAGGAAGGATGGTCGCGATGGTGAAGCCGGGCTGGTTGGCGCGGACATAGTCCCACGCCGCCCGCTCCGCTAACGCCTTGGCGGTTGAGTAGGCTAGCCCCGCCGGTGCCCCGGGGGCGGCGGCGACTTCGTACGGAGTGTTGTTCCAGTCCTGCTCGGAGTAGACGTGGCCGGGCCAGCGGCCCTTGCTGTGATCCGCCATCGCGGCGAAGGAGGAGGTGAGGACGACGCGCTGGACCTTGGGGGCAAGCCGGTGGACTGCTTGGAGGATGTTCAGGGTTCCATCGATGGCCGGCTTCAGCAGGTCGCGCTCGTTGTCCTCGACGGCGAAGACCTGGAACGGTGCCGCCGTGTGGATTACCCCGTGGACGCCCTCCACCGCGGTGTCGAAGGCTCCCGGTTGCGCGACATCTTCGACAATCACCAAGGACAGCTGCTCGGCGGCATATTGAGGAAACGATTGGCGGACTTTGTCGGCCGTCGCAGCCGAGCGGACGGTCCCGCGGACCTTGTACCCAGCACGGAGGAAATCGTGCACGATGTGCGAGGCTACGAAGCCTGAAGCTCCGGTGATGAGAATGACTTGATCTGTAGGCGACATATTGGTTGGTGGTGGAAGTATCAGTCGTGGTGGACGGAAGAAAGCCTAAAACGAAGGTAGGGGTGCTGCGTGGGTATTTGAACTGCAAGGGAACATCCTGCAATCACTAGTAAGAAAGAGATTTCCATCCTTGGCTCTTCCCCTTCTTGCTGCATGCCTGGCGCTCGGGACCGCAGGAGATCCGTTCCTGTACTTCTTTTGGTGCTATCCCCGCAATCTCCGGGGGTCGTTCCGTCAGCCGTTCGCCGTGATATGCCCCTCAGAATATGGCTGCTGCAGGCCGTAGTCAGGTGGCGTATACTTGATGAGCAGGACTGTGATGCCCAGGGCTTCCCCATGCTCGTGCTAGCTCTTTCTCGATTTCCTTATCCTTCTTCTGTAGAATCCCTGTATGAACTTCAAACGGCACCCGTCTAGAAACACAGAACTATCATGGGTCAGTCCACGGCCAGAAGCCAAGATGTGGCATGGCAGTAAGCCGATCACAGTCACGCATCAATAAAGCCGGTAAGCCCGGTGGGCTTACTTTGATTGTGTAACTTAGTTGAGTTGATAGGGAAGTTCGAGTGAAGAACCGCACAGCCGAGGATTACCCGAGGTTCGGCAACCCATCGCCTTATCTTGCTCCATGTCGATCAATGTCATACTCCTGCATTAGCGTCTGAACTAAACATTTTAGGTTTAGCAAAGGTCAGGGTCGGCCTGAACAACAGATATGGACCCACCAGATGAAAGCCGAACCTGTTAGCCGACACCGGTGTTGTAATAATCTTCTGCAGTTGAGACAATTCGGCATACTCGGCGTACGTAATCGGTCAACCAAGTGGGATGTGGAGAAGGATACTTACAGGCCTCCTACCTGCTTGGTGGGCTTGGCGCACGTCCTGCTGTTCTGTCGAGTGGGATGCAGCATATTGACCCAATGGCGAGATACGGTTATTGACCACCACTTCGATCTGGCACCATGCCTAAGGTCTAGGGGCTGGGTGAAGCGACTTGATGAGGTCACTCCCTAGGCATCACACCTTTGGCCTGGGCTCTCCCGGCTGAATATTCAAGGATGAGGCGATGAAGATGCAGGGTGGTCGAAGACACCATGCAGATGACAATATAAAAAGCCTACACACGCACGACATGTCGAACTCCACATCGCTATTCACAATCTTCAGTGTCTATTCCATACCCCTCCCTTCTGTCTAGAGAGCAGCACCATATCATCAATCAAGCTACCATGGCCCTCTCCAATATGACCGCATTGGCTGAGACGATGCGAGCTGTGGTCTGGCAAGGCCAGCCATTCAACATCTCTGTCCTAGACGTCCCCAAACCCACCATCCAGAACGCGACCGACGTGATCGTTCGCATGTCCCGGGCCGCCATCTGCGGATCCGACCTGCACATCTATCGAGGCACCATGGAAGGCCAGGTCCTCCCTGTCGGCATCGGCCACGAGGGGGTGGGATATATCGCCGAAGTCGGGGCTGACGTGGGGTCGTTGAACGTGGGCGATGCGGTGATCGTGCCCTTCACCAACCCGGACGGCCATTTCGAGACGGCCCTCACACCTGTCCCGTATGCAGCGTTTGGCAACGGCGGGGCTCTGGGGGGCACTCAAGCCGAGTATCTACGAGTACCGCACGCGGACGGGGGGCTCATCCCCATCCCCGCCGTCAACTACACCGACCCAACCACAAACGAGACCACCTCCCTGCTCAATGACTACGTGATGCTCTCGGACATCTTCGCGACGGGCTGGACGGCGCTAGACTTCGCAGGCTTCCAGCCGGGGGACACGGTGGCCATCTTCGGCGCCGGGCCCGTGGGCCTGATGGCGGCGTATTCGGCCACCTTGCGAGGGGCCTCTCGCGTGTACAGCGTGGACTATGTCCCGGAGCGGCTCCGTCTGGCAGCGTCCATTGGCGCCATCCCCATCAACTTCCAAACCGCAGACCCCGTGGACCAGATCTTGGCCCGCGAGCCCGCGGGGGTGGCCCGGAGCGTCGATTGCGTCGGATTCGAGCAGGTCAATCGAAACCTAACCGTACAGTCAGACGTCATCCTGCAGAACATGCTGGCCGTCACGGCTGTCAACGGGGGCATGGGCACGGTGGGGGTGTACAGTCACGGCGGGCGCGACACCGCCAGCCAACCCCGGGCGTCCAGCATCCATACCGATTTCAACCTCTCGCTCGCCGACTTCTGGAGCAGGGGCTTTCATTGGGGCGCTGGGATCTCCAGGCCTCTCGATCTGGCCCCGCAACTGCTTCATCTGGTCGCGTCGGGCAAGGCCAGGCCCGGGTTCATCGTGAGTGATGTCATCGATATCGAGGACGCCCCGGCCGCCTACGCGAGGTTCAATAACCATAGCGCGACCAAGGTGGTGATTGCTTTCGACCATTAGCCCCAGTTGCTGGAGTGTGAGACGTGCGGCCTGTGTGAGTCGCCGAGTCGACTTTGTTGTCAATGTGTCGCAATAGCCCGCGATCCCTGCTTACAGTGAATTCATTGCGATCATAGTGATCTGATCGCTCTCAGTGCTCACGCAACCTGCGTTCCATCGGACAAATGTACATATTCTTCGCTCTGCTAGCTTCAAGTTACTCGGTCTTGTTATTCGTCCACGCGTCCTATTTATGTAGGTAGCTACGTTCAGCTCGGGTTACAGGAAGCCCTTTTCCACGCGGAAGCAAGTTGGAATGTCGATCAGGATTGATTGACCGGGATGATGTGTATTTCAATCATGATAGATTTGACATTAAATAGTGAATACCCCACTCCAGGATGTTCACTGCTTCTAGATCCAGGTTAGACAGAGTTCGAGTAGGGGTGATGCCTCACTTAGCACAAGGCATCCGTCCAATAGTAACCAGATGACTCTGCCGCCGATAACAGTGCGATGGGCCGGTTTGCAATGAATAGCGGTTGTGTGGTATGCACTCTGGCAGGCCTACTGGTGCAGGGAAGGAGGATCTGGTTAATATCAATCTCAATGATTTCTGTCGTGAAACCTTCCATCTTGACATTACAGGCAGGTTTGGCCACATACATGATTGGCGACGGCGCCTAGTTATGTAACCGTTTATGCCAGAAGAAATACCCGTAGACCCCCGTAAGCAGCAAAGGATACAACGCCCTGTAAGCCCCTGAGGACATGGAGTTCTGCATATTCTGCATGGTGTATCGCTCAATAGTCGTGGCCGGCGAGCCCTCAGTGAAGAACATCATCTGCGCAACATCCTCCGCCCGCTTCTGGAACACGGCTGCACGGGCAAACAGCTCCGTCTCATACTTGAGGAGTGCAGAGTCCAAGTCGGAGGGGCGGACCACCGCCCCCAACGCCTGCGCCAGCTGCAACACATCGGTAAGCGCCTGGTTGACCCCTTCCCCGGTAAAAGGGCAGATGACGTGAGCCGCGTCGCCCACGAGCGTCAGTCCCGGGCAGTGGTCCCAGCGGAAGCCGACGGGCAGGGTATAGAAGGAGCGAGACGCCACGGGCGAGTCCTCTCCGGCGTGAGCGATGAAGTCCACCAGCTCTGGGGCATAATCACCAAACTCGCGCATCTGCGCCGCCCGCACAGCCGCCGGGTCCGTCAGGGCGTAGTCAACCTGCTGCTCCCACGCTTCCGGCCGTGCCCGCCACAGCCCGACGTTAATGCTGCCGTCACCCAGCTGCTGCCCCGCCAGCATGCAGCCCGTCGAGTACGCAAAGATGGCCCCGCCCTTGAGGCGTGCCGCACATTTCGGCGCGGTGCGTGCGGCGTCTGGGATCTGCAGCGCGAACCCGCCGATGCCGGCGTACCGGGGCACGGTGTCGGAGAGCGCCGCGCGCACTTTGCTCCACGCGCCGTCGGCTCCAATGATGAGATCGAACCCGGATGCGGTCGTTCCGTCGGCGAATTCTAGAGTGTAGGCGTGTCTGGGATTTGCTGTGTTGGCGGCCACCACGCGACGCAATGGACGCTTCCATTCTATCGTCCCGGGCGGCAGGGACTCGACCAGCATGCGCCGGAGAGCAGACCGGTCGATCTCTGGCCGCCCACGGCTGTGTTCTTTGGTGGTAGGGCTGAGTTGAATATAGGGTTTGAGCTGCTTATCGCACACCAGGAGTGCCTCGCCGTCGAAGCGCGCGTGCTTCAGGAATTCCTCGTACAGGCCCGCGGCCTTGAGGGCGGCGAGCCCGCCATTCTCATGCAGATCTAGCGACCCACCCTGTGCACGGTAGTTGATGGAGGGCTCCGCCTCGAAGACCGTCACCGCGAATTTCGGCTGGTTGAGGAGCAGTCGAGCGAGCAAGCATCCGGCGGGGCCTGCGCCGACGATGGCTACTTTGAAAGCCATGCAGAGTAGAGGACAGATAGGGTTGTCGGCTGTAAAAGCAAAGGTGAAAGATACAACAGTAAACTATCAATTTGTGGCTTCGGTTGAATGAGCAGAGCAATAGTTGAGAAGGACAAGGGGATGAGGATGATACGAGTCTTTTATTACATGGCATCGCAATGATTACTCAAATAGGCTAAGCTGCCACGTGAGTCAACGCATTAGGCAATCCATGCGCGGCACTGCACAGCCCAGCTGAGCTTATGGGGTCAACTTATAGTCAGATGTTAATCAAGCCCTTACTGCTTACTCAGACAATGATCCAAGGCTGTTAATTCCATAGTGAGCAATCATCATTCGCGAAAATCGAGGCACTAAGGCTGATTACTGATAGCACTTCGGCAGCGAAACCCAAGGCAACCTATGCGAGATGCACATTCAAAGCATTAATGTCTTAGGTTGGATAAATTCTCAAGATGTTCTATCTTCGCTAGGTCACCATATAAGTCCATGTGACGTGAGCCATTCTATTATATGTTGATATGAGGTAATTCAATAGAAAGAGGGAGGACGATAAATATCGAACAAAGATATCGACAAATCCGATCGACTAGCCGACGAACCCAGTAGTGAAGAATCAGACATGTATTATTGTTTCAACTGGTCCATTGTAGTTAAGAGTGAGGTCACAGGCCGAAGGGAAGATTCTGTAGACCGAGTATTGGAGCAAGGGCCTGAGCGTACGTCTCCTTTGCTGCTGCTGCGACACCGGATGCCTCTAGGTAGCAAGATGGGCCATAAAGCTCATAGGACGATGTAGGACTTGGTATATTGTGTACTGCTAGAACAGCGTTTGTGAGATGAGATTGGGTGTAGAGAGAACAGCACATCTACTTCGTGCGGTCAGGAATGTTTATACGACAATAATCTAGACATTATCAATGGCAAGCGTCAACTGAGTCGCCATCAACCAACATCGCGTCATCAAGCCATCATCACTGCGCGGTAGCTGTTGCGGTACTTTCGCTGGAGATACTCGCCAAGTAGGCCGCCTCAGTGGATTCTGCGTGTGCCACCGCCGACTGCAAGGCATCATGATCCGCCTGCTGCTCCGCTGTCTCGGTAGCATTGTCCCACGCCGTGGGAGGCGGAGCTGAATACACCGCGGGACCTGGCGCAGTTTCGCCCGGCAGGGCGCCGACATTAACGTTATCAGCGCAGTCCTCGTCTGAGGTGGTGTAGTTGGCCCCGATTCGACCCGTGCCACAGGAATACTTCCCTCCGTCAGCACCATGGGTGAAGCTGTATTCGGACTGCCAGCTCGCTGACACATTCACTCCGATCCGTACCCACATGTACAGCCCATCCTGCAGGGTATCTCCCAGGTACTCGTAGTTGAATACCGGATCGGAGGCGGAGAAGGCAGTCTCCTGGTGGAATGTGTCGTCGAGAGCGTTACCAATCACCGCGTAAGGGTTGAGGGTGTAGGGGTAGGTGGTCTCGACAGCGTCGACGAGGGCCTGGTCGAAGAAGAACTGGCCGATGTGGCTGATGCTGCCGCCGGTGATGGTTCCGTTGGGCAGGACAACCACGTTGGTATGAGCGATGATGTGGATATGGTTGGTGCGGCCGGTGTAGTGGCCGGGAAAGATGGTCTGGATGCGCGCCACCCCGTCCTGGTCCGCCATCTGTACAGCGCGCAGCCAAGTCGCGTTCACGTTGGAGTGGTCCAGAAAGTCGCCGTTACCCTCATTGATCACCCCACTGTACACCCCGGTCGCGTTCGCGTTCCACATATCCCAGAACATCCCGGGAACGGGGAGACAGCTCTCGTAGTCGATGAATTGCGCCTCCACGATGATGGGCACACCGAGCTGGTCCTCTCGCGCGTCCTCGCGGATAAGCTCCCCCGGCACGTAGTACGGCCCATTGTCGCCGTAGGGGGTGAGAAGCACATGGTGCTCGTCTGCAAAGACCTCTCCCGGGCGGGATGGGTCGATCCGCGGCCCGGTGTGGAGGTGGGTGGCATTCAGGATCTCGACAGTAGACCGCTTGCGCCGACGGTGATGCTCGATAATCTCGTCGCGGCGCGCGCGGAGACGCAGATTGCTGCCTGAGCTCTCCAGGTCCCCGGCGCACGACTCGAGACTGCGTCGCGCTTTAAGTGTGTGGCGATGGCGGGCCATCGCGGCTTCTAGGGTTTCATGTTCGAAGGCGCCGTGGGCGGCGGCGAGGGCAGCCCAGGCCAGGACTAGATGGTGCTGTAGCTTCATGTTGTTGCCTTCCTTGTGCTTTTTCGCCGCCTTTAATCGATCTCATTTGTTGGTGGAGGGTCTTCGATGAGATTGCTTAGGTGGTTGGATGCAGTACCAACGACAGTCAGCCTTTATACTTCTTATGCCCGCTGTGCTTTGTCTCGCATCTATCCCATTCGGACTGACGGAACCTGTCTCCCTTCCCTTTGCTCTTCCGTCACCTTCGTTTCTCTGCATGTCCACTTGAATTTACCCCAATTCCCTGATTGAGTAGCGTCGTCCGAGATACATGGCAGGCTAGGAGCGCAAAGTAAAGTTTGGGTTGGAGGTCAACGCGACGGGATAACTCCTCACTAGTCTCGGCAATGGATACGCACTCCGCATTGTGTATGGCACGTCCACGTACCTCAGAGTATGCATGATCATTAGTTGGATCCAGGTAATCACCAAGATCCCATTCGTCGTTGAGTTGGTCGAAAATCGTACTAGTAATCACTGGGGCTTGGATTGGGACATTGTTAGGCCGATGTCCTGTCGACGCGTATCTCCCCTCTCTGCCCACCCGCGGAATTAGGGCTCAGATTGACAATGACTTGAGCAGCCAAGCCAACTTACCCAAAGCTTGCATCGACCCCGCTTTTCCATTTGTCCCGCTCCCATCATTCAGTTACCGCATGGGCTCTCTATGACTTCCCCGCATAATTTGTGGGACCCTGAAAGTCTGTATCGCCAAGGCTCCGATCCTTACTCGTTCCAGTACCACCTTGCGAGCGGGCGGGCCGGGGCGGGCGGACGCACAGGAGGCAGGGAGTGCCGTGATAAAAGTGCCTTGACGATGAGGGGGACTGCCGGCGTTGCTTGGCACGGAGATAATATGCAGTGTACACCAATCGGTCACGAAGGATATGCAAGCATGTTCATTATTGAATAGGTCATGTTTTTAGGCTTCGACCGATATGCTATTTGAGTTTTCCCAAAAGCAGGTTTTTGGCCGCTCTAGATCGTGACAACGTATGGTAGAGTGGATGTACGGAGTTGCACACCGCATCGATACAGAATACACACATAGATACACTCCATATACAGATAATTCCTAAGCCCGTGGCAGCTGCAATGACTTTATCTCAAGTCCCAATCATCTACCCTCCGTACTCTTTCCCCATCTACCGTTGGTACGCCACTGCAATTCCCGACGGTGGCCCATTGATTAGTCGAATCGGGGTCGCTCTCCAGGTATCCTCCTCGACGTAACTCGTCCCATTGGCCTGGAAGACCAGTGCGTACTCGTGCGGGGCACCGTACTGCGGCCAGACCGGAATGCCTCCCTTACTGGTTATCGAGGTTGCAACCACGCTGCTATTAGTGGCCGTCTTCCAGGCGTTCGGGTTCAAAGTCGCGACAAAGCTGACCCAGCTGCCGCTTACCTCGGCTGCCAACTCCACAAGGGACTCGGTGTTCAGTGGCCTGTGCTCGTACCCCGTGCCGCGCGTATTGTCGAAGACGAAGGGAAGATCGTCGCCGTGTTGTGCAGTGCGTTGGCCCTCGCCCAGGGCAGCGTTCCAGCGATAGCAGTATGTGGTAACGTTGTTGCGGGCCCAGGTAGCGCACGCTTGGCGCCGGTTTGCGATCACCGTCGCATCGCCCTGGTGCAGGCGGGCTTTCACAGCCGGTACGGACGAGACATTGGCGTACGCAGCGGTGATCTGGTTGACTAGTACTTGTGGCAGGGCGATCCCAGGAGCGACGCCGTACGATTGCGGATCTAGTAGGGGCCGTTAGTCAACTCGAAGTGTACAGAAACGATCCAGTACACGAACGCCAAGCAGGTAATCTTACTGGCGACCAAATCCGCAAAATCCTCGTCTGTCACAATCTCAACTTTAGCTGGCATCTGCGCGGTTCCTTCGTCCGTCGCGGCCCCGAGGATGATCGGCACGGGGACAAATTTGCGCGTGTACAGCGAGCGACTCGGCTGCTGGGAGACGATGTCCCCATCAATCACAGGAAACCAGCCGTGGGGACTCGTGGCATTGATAGCAGCGTTCATCTCCGCAAAGGGCACCGTCCGCAGACACGCCATGCGATCGGGGCTGACCCAGCAGGTGTCTTTCCCAGGGACCATCCCATACTCCAGTGCAAATGTCGAGGAGGGATACACCTGCTGAGTCAGGGCATCATACAGGGGCTGGAAGTACTGGGTGCCGTTGAGTCCGCGTGCGGGCACGGGGTTCCCGCTCTGCAGGATGGCGCCGCGCAGCAGCCCGTCATCACGCCCCGCGTACGCCGTGAGCTGGAAGCCCACACTGGATGCCCCAGCCCCCTGGCCCCAGACGGTGACCTGCTGGGGATCGCCCCCAAACCCGGCAATATTCTCCTGCACCCACTGCAGGGCATACCGCTGATCCCGGAGGCCCACGTTAGTCGCCCCCGTGTCGCGGATCTGGTTGCTGTACAGGAACCCCCAGGCGCTCAGTCGGTAGTTGAAGCTGACAGCTATGACGGGCTGGTCTTGTTTGACAGACCGCGCGACGAAGGAGCTGAGGTTGTAGCGTCCGTCGCACGCGCTGCCGCCTGAGAAGCCCCCGCCGTGGAAGTAAATCACCACGGGAAGGAGGTCGCTGGGCGTGGTCGTGTTCTGGTGTGGTCGCACGATGTTGAGGTACAGGCAGTCCTCGGACATGTCGTCGGGGCGGTCAGAGGGACCGTATCCTACACAGGAGGGCGCGTAGGCTGTCGCATTGCGCGTGCCATTCCAACTGCTCGTGAGGCTATCGGCCGGGTGGAAGCGTCGGTCATTGACCGGGGCTTGTAGGTATGGGATTCCAAGGAAGAAGTCTTGCTCGAATGAGGTCGAATATACCCCAGCGTAGGTTCCATTGAGTGTCGTGCCAGTTGGGAGACTGGTCGCAATGACTGAGCCTACAAGGAAGTAGGCCAATGCTATGAGCTGCAGCATTGTAGGTTTCGTCTCTTCTCTTCTTGATCCGGGGAACGCAACTGCGCAAAGGTATAACCAATTCCTGGTAAATCTGTAGCAAGGAAATAACGACGGTGGCCGAATTGGTTGTCACCAGGTACGCAGACAGTAACAGTCCCTGAAAGCATTTGTATCACTATCAACGGGGGATTGGTCGTCATATCTGCTCTCCTGAACGGATCTCCTCTGATTGATCAAGTATGTCTCGCAAAGGACCACCAAAACGGGAAGACTAGGGCTGCGCCAAACCTTGATCAACCCGCTGGGAAACAAAACGTCCGCTTACAACCCTGAAGCTTCTCGCCTGAAGCATGCTTGATTCTAGACCAGGTAAGCTAAAGCAGCCCAAACCCCGAGTGTCGGCATAACGAAAAAGTGCCTACCACTAATTTAGTGTGCTTTTAGCTCAAATCAAGCACTATCCTCTCACCCCGAGATTGACGTCGGACATGTCCGATCGCTAGAGACACCACGCGGGGTAATCCCACTCCTGCATTTCCCTCAACCCCACAAGGAGTGCCCTGAGCACCCCGCATTACCCCCAGACGGGTTTCTGATACCATCGGTTAAACCACCCTTGTCGTGACATATTCATGCTCTTTCAATTGCGCCTCGAATGTTTAGTGATCAAATTGGAAAAGAATTGAATGGAATGCTGTTCAAGAACAGACAGATGGATACCCCACGGCTAGCCCATGGGAACTCCATAGAGTAGACTCTGCAACATAAAAGCTAGACACGCCTCGTTGTCCTATAAAGGAGACAAGGATCGTCCACCAGCCTTGGAGTCATAATCTGGAAAGGACCTCCAAGCAAAAAGCCAAACTACCGTCCGGTCAGGCAGCAATGTGGTCGCTCTTCTGTTTCGTGTTGTGTGCAGGGCTTTGCAGCACAACTCGAATCACCTCAAGTGCGGTACAGGCAAATCCTCCCACTGCGGAGACCTTGAATGGAACATACTTGGGTGAATATCTCCCTGAGTATCAGCAAGATCTATTTCTGGGAATCCCTTTTGCTCGTCCACCTTTGGAGCATCGACGATTTGCCAACCCGGAGTCCCTGAGCACCTCATGGACGGGAGCCCGCCCTGCGACCCAGTATGCCTTTGTGAGTAACCCCCGTTGGTTTGTGTTATGGTATTTCGTTCTAAGGCGAACATCCCTGTAGGAGTGTATTGGCTACGGTGGGGATCAGAAAGGGTACCTTCAGAGCGAGGATTGTCTCTATCTTAACGTGATTCGGCCTTCTGGCTACGAGAATGGAAGTCTGCCAGTGTTGGTATGGATTCATGGTGAGTTAATCAGTTTTCTTCAAGTTCAGGCTCATCCCACTTTTACTTTTCTTATTTCTTCTGCTTGCTCTTCCTTCTTTTATTTTGTCTTATGTTTCAGCATTTTGGCGCTTTTTTTCCCTCTTAGCCTTTGGCGGGCATGAAGCGGTGTTCTTTTGGATTCTGACCACGTACGCCCTGCAGGTGGTGGCTTCAAGGAAGGAGGTACCCCCGACAAGCGATATAACCTGACCTTCATTGTCAATAACTCCGTCATTATTGATCAACCCATCATCGGAGTGAGTATTGCTTACCGTCTGGGCCCCTTCGGTTTCTTGAATGGCGATGTGGTGGCTGGCAGCGGGGCGTTGAACCTCGGCCTCAAGGACCAGCGACTGGCTCTGCATTGGATTAAGGAGAACATCGCGGGATTTGGAGGTCCGTTCCCTTGTACCATTTTTTCGAGGCCTTAACACAAGGGTATGCGGATCATCTCACAAGACATTCCATAATTCAGGCGACTCCGACAAAATCACTATCTACGGACAAAGCGCCGGGTCCGAGAGCGTGGGCTACCACCTTCGCGCATTCAATGGGCGGGACGACGAGCTGTTCCGGGCAGGGATCATGGAGTCTGGCCCAGTCATTCCGCAAGGGCCGTTGAACCTGACCTCCGAGTATCAAGAAAGGTTCGATGGGATTGTCGCAGCCGCCGGCTGCAGCAGCCACCAGAACTCCACCAAGCTGGACTGTCTGCGCAGCCTCCCATTT